TAACCGAATCTCTAAAAATAGTCTATTTACGCTACCTTACCATAGAAAAGTGCGATTCCACCGAATACTCGATGTGCAAACATTGGTATCACCACATAACCTCCCTTATTGTATGCAATGCAGTCACTAAAAATGTTTATAATGTAAAATTTAAGAAATATAAAACTATTTTCGGTAATTCGCGCATAATTTAAGTGTTGTTGAATAATGTTTTCAAAGTTCTCAGAAATTTAATAAATTTTAATTTTCAATTAAGTTTTATGTTTATATTTTAATATAGCGGATAATAAAAAAAATTCTTAGTGACTAAAAATATAATTATACAGTGTAACCTTCATTTTAAAAGAGAACTATATAAATTTAAGACAAGAACTTTTTCCAAAACTCAAAGATTTATTCACTACTTCTTATTCTACTACAGCTGTTATGTTGAAGTAATTTTTAACATGTTTATTAGTTTTTTCTTGGAAAAAATACTTTAAATTTGTGTTATTATTTTTTATATGCATATTCATCTCATATATTATTACAGATATATTAAAATAAGCAATTTAATTCGTACAGAAACGAGAGCAAATTCAAATTTTAAATATTATAATCTCTTGTACATGAGTTCATCGCAACCCACAATAAGCTTTAAGTCGCGTTGTAACATTAATCCTCCTCATGGTATATTCCCCACATGATATATGTTTAACCAACACATTCATTAAATACTGCTCTTTTCTAAAAATTTTCCTATACATACATAATTATAAATTGAAGTTCGTGCAGCGTTTTTTAATGAAATCTATCTTGTGAACGCATTTCGCTCTATTTCTTTTCTACTTATAAAGAACTACCGTTTCCAATCAATATAAATTTCATAGAATATTGTGCTTCCTACCTTAACTGATTTATGTGTGTATTTTAATAAATTAACATATATATACATATGTACATATTATTTTTTTTGCACAAAATAAATTATTAAATGTCAATTATTCAATATCACTTAATTAATTTTTTGTTTACTCATTCAATATACAATATTCAAATTTCTAGATCTATATTATTAATAATATTTGAGTAAATAAAACACACATATCGTATGTGTATCAAACTTGTGAGCTAATGCGTTACTTATATTCACGTAACAAACACATAGGAAAATAATTCAATACTCATTACATGCCTGGATATGTAACGTATGTTTAATCTTATATAAGTTGAAAAAATTTATTGTTATATACATTTAAACGTTATCCTTCGGCGTTAATAAATTAACGATCATTACGTACATGAACAGAGGAAAACTTAAAAAAAAAAAAAGCAATGTATTGTTGTGTGTATTTTCTAAACATGCTATATTAAAGACGCATGTTACCATCAACTATAGGGCATCTGGGAGAAATTTTGTTTCCAATACCGATAAATATGGTTAAAGGTCTTAAAACTTTGCATTCTAATTATTTAACGTTAAACTTTACTTTTAATTAGGCCCTTTCCCAGTATGTCAAAGATTTGACGATCATGTCAATCACGTCAATCGCTTGATTTAGCAAATGACAATCACCTGTAATTTGAGCAATTTTCAAACAAATCACTTATGCATTAGCCTTTAAAAACATGCGAAAAAAAAACTAAAATGACAATCAATTGCGTTAGCAACATATGTTGGGATTTATGACGCTAGCGTCATGTTGCCTTGGGATTCATGACTAACGTCAGTTGCATGCATTTGACATACTGGGAAAGGCCCTTTCTTTGAACAATATGATGTATCCGTCTTTTTAGCACATATCGTGTTGTTCTGAAACCACATTATTTTATGTATAGCATTATTTTATTTAAGAATCGCTGTGTTACGTGCTCAACATTTACCGTATAAATTAACGCGAGTTCATACCCTATTTTATCAGTGATTAGTTTTACGGGCACGCCAAAGATGGTGGTTTTCATAATGTATGGAATTTCAAATAGCATCTCCTATTTTATTTCTCAAAATTCGAGTATAGGAATAAAGGTTTATTGCCACTTCTTTACAATTTCAAATAACAAAATTATTAAAAGAGTTCATTATTCATTTTTATTGAAAGCGCAAAAAAACAAGGATGCTTTTTAGAGAGACATGTAAAAATACAAAGTAAAATGAAGACATTACCTTATTTATTTCATAATTTTTCGTTTTCATTACTTTATGGGCTAATAAGCTTCGATTGTTGTTACTTAATTTTTGGGTAATTTATGATATTTTCATTTATCTTTAATATGAACACATTAACTAGTATGGAATTGCCATGATATTTACCATGAGGCTCTTTATTTTTCAATAATAAGAATATGAATTCTTACAAGAGTTTTTAATGTACATCAGAAGTTTAGTAAAATGTTGAACTTTATATGGAAGAAAAATAAAAACAGGTACAAAAATTTTTCAGGTTTAAAAGTTTTTAATTCATTTCATTATTGAAAAAGCTTCGTGAAAATTTACAATATTGAATAAGATGTTTGGTGGTTTATTGCTACTTAACTAACGTGATAATACCTTATGTCTTAACTACACCTTACTTTAGTCACGATATGCATTTAAATCACAATTGTAGGAATTATAAAGCCTACAATTGTGATTCAATCCCGGCCTAATTCTGTAATCTCACTTTTTAATCACTTTCTAAACTAGACTTCTAATTTTCTCTATAAACCTTGAAAATTTGTCACTCTCAAGAGAAAACTAATTATCGCATATAACGTAACGAGTAACAACTCATATTTTTGAAAAAAATATTTTCTCATTTGAAAATCAAATTATTCAGGCGTATGACTTCTCACTCCTTTTCTTTTCATCACTATGATCTTCTCATCCAATGAGCAAAAAGTACTTATAATAGAATTAGCTCTTAAATACTTACTTTTATTAAGGGAAAAAATGACGGAATGATTGTCGAATTTAATCTTCCATTGTTGTACATGGTAAATGTTATCTTTATGTTAAATTAAATTAAAAATAGCTAGCTATTGCCAGAAAAATTTATACTTTGATTCAAAAGTTTGAATTTTGAATACATTATGTTTTTTTTTCAGAAAAGAATATGCAAAATTTCAAAGCATTATTTAATATTTTCAACAGAAATTTAGTAAATCTTTTGAAAAAAACAAATTATTTGAACTTTTTACAACAAATAAAGAAATTTCTACTTCTACATTGTGTCTTAATCTTTTTCCTTGTTTTTCATTAAAAGGAATAAAAAATATTTTATTTATTCGTTCTAATACAGTTTAATTGAAAATGCATTATTTTTCTTCTTCTTTCCAAAAAGAACCTTGTAATGATATTATAATAATAATATCCTTTTTTCGTGTACATATGTAGGTATTACCAGTGTTACATTTCCACATATACGTTTACACGTTTATTATTTTCGTTTTTCTTTTAATTTTATTTTCCTTTCCATATAATAATAATATAACTTTTCAATTGTGCTTATGTAGAAAATCCTTTGATCACTATATACTTGTGTGCTATTGCCAAGGACTTTTTATAATATAAACATGTTATTTGAAGGACATTACCCATTATACGTATATGCATACCTTTTATCTGGTTTTAATATTTTTTTCTCTCTATATTTAACCTTCTTAAGCTTTAATAAGATTGAAAACTTTTTAACCTTTTATTATGTTTCTATTATTTAGTTTTGTAGAAGCAAAATATATAGTATGTATATGAAATGAATAAATTTAATGTATAAAATGTAAACTAACTTTTACAAAAATTGAAAGAAAAAAAAAACAAAAACGATCTTGTTAAGTTTTATGTTAATTCCACTTAGAAATTTTTAAGTGTGTATATCTGTAAGTCTTTTTAGAAATTTAAAACGGAAACATTTTAAGAATTTTTTGAGCAGAATGGTCACACAAGAAACGAACGGTATAGTCATTCTCCTGAATTTTCAACTATAACAAAACCACAAAGTCAAGGAAGATGAATAGATAAAATGTGGGAAGAAAATTTTGATGACTATTGGTAAATTCTTAAACGTCAAATTTTACAAAATCTGAGTTGTCTGAGTTTACGAATACTCTACTGCGTTTTTACTTTCAGTCAAAGTTTAAATTCTTAAACGTTTAAAAAAAGTCAATTAAGCGTCAAAATTGTAGATTTTTTTTTTTACATGCAGACAGTCTGACGTAGTAATTCAGTAAATAAATTTGATGTATTGAGAGACTATCATTACGTTAAAAATAATATAAAAAATATTTTTTTTGTTAATTTTTAATATGTAAGTATAAAATTATTTTAAATCTAAAAAAAAATTTTTTTTTGTTTTGACGTTTACGGATGATCAAAATTCAAAGTCAATTACGGGTAAAAAGTTTACTACATTTCTGTCCGTAAAAGTTTTATACGTCAGACAGTTTGCAGACTGAAAACAAAATTTTGACGTTAAAGAATTTGCGGTATATAAGCCAAAACTACCTAAGGTGCTATAATACTGTTGGTTTTAATCAATATTATCAAAATCAGAGCATTTCTCGCAACAAATCAAACGGAAACTGAGTATTGGTAAATACGTACAGGTAATGGCTCAATTGGTAACGGTAATTTTGATAATTCAATATGATTTCACATTTCTAGCTTAGAACTTAAATAAGCTAGACAACAGAAAGACGCAGATGGAAAAACTACAAATTTGCCATTAGTATAAAAAAAATTTTTTTAGTTGTGATAGTTCTAAGATTGTCATATTATGCTTTTCAAAGTTTCAAAAATTAACCATAAAATTAAATATTTTATTATTTCTAATTTTACTGAAATCTAAATGAAAACTAAATCTTTTATTAAAGTAATAACAAAATTCAAAAGAAACTTGCTCTAATACCTGTAAGTCTGATATTTTTTTTTAAGTACAAAACAGTTTACGCAATACTAAACTCAATACTTACTGGATGCGCGAATATCTTAAAAATTTTAACATGCAGTTGCAATTTTAAAACAAATTGCAAAAATAGTACGGCATTGTCAACACATATTTTTGACAGCACGTGCAGTTCTTTATTGTCGACAATAGAGCTAATCTTAAATATTAAAGGAAAGTAAATTAAATGTAAAAAATATAATTAATGGTCAACAAACATATCCGAAATTATGAAATATTGTATACGATAACAATTTTCAACGCATCTTAATTTGAGGACGATTGATTCATCGCTTGAATCAACACAATTTATGCATACTCTTTTCCTGTTTCCCATTGAAATCGCTTTATGGCACCGAATGCAAATGTGTGTGTTATTTTCCTTCATTATCCTTTTTTGTAATTCCTTAGTAGCCAGTTAAACAGCCTCGGTAACTGGCAAAACTTACATCGTTACAGTTTGCGCACCTAGCCTGAAAACCTTTCTTATTACATTCTGGCGTCTTATGATTACCAGCACATTTAACACATTTATCTCCTCTTTGGAAAAATCTTTGCGTATGACCGAACCTTTGGCATCTCTTGCGTTGCGGGCTGAATCTATTATTTCTACTTAACTTTTACTCTCATATACTGAAGATATTCTATTTTATATGTTTTATTTATGTCTTCGGTGTGATCGAAGGACATCATAAAAAGGAGCAACTTTTTAATAGTATTTACATCATTTTCTTTTATTTTTTATAAAATTATGTCATCTGCGCATTTAAATCCCCTTTGGATAAATTCACATTTAATATCCTGTGGCTCAAATGATGAATGTAGGTTTCTACATTACTTTAATTGGTTTCGTCAATTTATTTTCATAAAGATGCAATTGCAATTTGGCCTTATTAACAGCTTTAGTTAATTGTCTATATTTTCCACATTTATTTTTAATTGATCGTTGTTCATCATATTTACCTTCACGTTAATACTTTCCCTTTTGAGGATCCTTATTACCTGCGTGTAATTAGTTACATTACTTACATTACTACGTTACATTAGTTACATTACTTACATCACTACGTTACATTAGTTACATTAATTCTTTGTTGGAAATTTCTCCACCCTGGTGCTATTAAGTGCTAGTGCCGGTTCCATTTGAGTTTCTTTTGGTTTTAACAATGCAATCGTTTCTCTAACCAACTCTTCCTCATCTGTTTCATACACGATCACACCAATTTTGTCTTTCTTAGTGCCACTTGAAACTGCGTTGTGCTGTCCCAATAATCTTAAATTTTCTGTCTTAAGTTCGCAGATCTCTTCTTTCAGCTCCTTACACAGGTTCTCCAAGTCGCTTGTACGCAAATCGACCATTGGTGTCTGATGTAACGTGACCCTTATATTACCTTCAGAGGTTTTGCTTTTGTTGTTTTCTTCAGACCTTCTTTCTATATAACGCTCTATGATTTTGTTTCTAGCTTCCCCCATAGGAGTAGACCATGCAACCCATCAGCTCTTGCCAAACGAGTTCATAAATTTCGCTAAGTGATCTTTTTTTCCACTGGCGACTTCTCTAAACGTCTTAAACATTCCGACGCGCCTGGATTGTATCCGGATTTTAGTGGACTTGTACCATAAGCATGTCTGCTGTTGGTGTTTCTACTCCCCAACTCACTGGGGAAGATAAAATATAATAAAATAAAAATCAAATAATGCAACAGCTGGAGTAAATTTTACACCTTACACGTGTTTTTTTTTTGGTTTAAACTTCTCCGATCGTATTCCAAAATAATCCGTGTAGTATAATTTAACGGGAATCTTTTCTATATTCCAATAACTTTGGTGTAATTTTGACGCCATCTGTACAATTAAAGCTAACCAACTTTGCATTACGAAACCTGAAATTAAATAATTATAAAAAATTAAACAATTTGCGCTTGGTGTAATGACTTATTCATTAGTAACAAAATAGCCAATTAAACTTCTATTTTCACTTAAACACAATATTCTAGAAAAACATTCAGAAATTCTGAAGGAAAAAGTTAAAAAGAAATGGAAACTTTACAATTTTCTATTGAATTTTAAATGCATTATTACAATGTAAATTGATTGCAACTACAAAAATTAAAAATTTATTTCGGGGCTTAATTTGACTTTTTAGAAAATTTTAATTTAATGTTTAAAACATTTTATTTTTTTTGTTATATCTTTTTCTTTTGTTAAAATTTTCAATCTATGAATATGTATAAGATCACTTTTAACTTTTTCTTTAAAAAGAATTCCAATAAAATAAAAAAAAAGGATAAGAAAACATTTAGCAGAATTCTCGAGATTGTTTATTTCTCGGCAGGGTGTAGTTGTGGTGGTAATAAAGATTCTCGAATAATATAGCATTAGTCTCAAAGTAGTTCTGATACTCTAAAATCAACTACTCAATAACCATAAAGCCAACGCCAGCTAAACGATTTCGAAATAAACATTAACTACTTTTATAAAAGCAAACGATAAAAAAATAAAATTACAATACAACTTGTAATTTTATTAATATTTCATGTTTAATTCAGAACATTCAAACAAAAATCTATTGTAAGATTTTTCAAGAGCTTGTTTAAATGCTGCAACAAATTAAGAGAGTTGTCAAAAACCGAGTATTGCCTATAGTTTGTAATACCATTACAATTAAATACATGTGCTGATTGCTAAGGTATTTAGAATTTTCACGCCACAATGTTTTTTGTATTCTCTGTATTGTCGAGAATGTGTCTAAAAACAAGTAAGTTTTTTGGATACTGTTATATAATATTCTTATATAATTCGTAAAGAATAGTTCAATTTTTATTTTTTTTTGTTGTATAACTGAAAAATTTTTTAGTAAAAGTCAAAAATAAATTTTTTTATTCTAATAGTGCAAATATGTACAATAAATTTATTTTTTTCGTACATTTCTAATTACACATAGCGATATACTCTTAACCCATATGGCTAGTATAAAATACGTAAAATTTGTTTTTCATCAAAATATTTTTTAAAAAGTTTCCTTTAAGAAGAATATTTTTTTCTTACTTTTTGATTGAAAACCTTACATAATTATTTTATAAGGTCTTACAGATTTTATTTTATTGAAAAGAAAAAGATAAATTTTAAATTAGATTTTGTCCAATTATTCAAAAGTTTATCAACTAATCTTTAAAAAAAATGGTATGAAAACTTTTTTTTAAAAATTAAAATTTGACAACGAAGTTAAGTATTTTTAATATTAAACTTGAAATTATACATACCAAACTTTTACCTCAAAATTCATGTATTCTTATATGAATAGCTTCCCGAATTATTGAAATGCATTTTAAGAGAACACGCCACTCTCGAGTATACACCATTATAAATTTCGAATCTCAATTCAATTGTTAGTCTGCGTGTGGTGTAAGTAAAAACATTTTTTCTTCAAAGTTTTCCTCCTGGTCTATCCTCTCCTAGTAATTTTCATGATATATTCATCAATATAAAGCTTATTGTTCATTTTTTATTTTTATATAGGTTCTATAACATCTTCTAGCATACTTCGAATATTGCATAATATTAATTATTGTGTGTATCTTTAACCGGTGGGGTGGTGGTAAATTTTACACCTCACTCAACATTAACTTTGTTATCGTTCGTAAGAATATTACGGAGATATTGAGAGAGAGAGATTTAATAATTACGAGTATTACCTTCTCGACGAATATGTTAAAAAATTGCGCCTCGTAGCTTAAAGGTTTCAGCTTGTAATTGCCAAACTTTCACAGTAGGAAAATATATTAGCTGAATAAAGTTTTTTTTAATGTTAAATTTCTTAATCCATTAACAACCTTACACTTTTAGATGACATTATCAAAGCCTTACTTCCTTTCATAATCCCGTTTCCATACAAAAATGGCATCTTTTTAAAGCACATCAAGTGAATTTTTAATGAAGTTTTTATACAAATATATAGCAAAAGTATGTAGATAATGCAAAATCATCTAAATTTTCCAATTGAATAAGAAATATTCAAAAATATCAAAAATGGATGAACTTTTCACATTAAATATATTTCCAATACAACATCTAGATTGCAGGTTCTATATAAATATTATATAGATTGAATCGAATACCGTGATGAGAAATTTTTAACTATAAATTTATTATTGAATCTAATATACTTGTAGTTAGCATTCTTTTTCGCATTTGAAATCTAGGACCTAGATGGCAATCCAATGGCACGCGTGCCAAGACTGGCACGTTTCAAATTTTCCTTGGCACGCGAGAAATTTTCAACTTTTCATATCGAATTGAAAAAAAAATTTTTTTTTTATTTGAAAAAAATTTTTTTTTGTTTTAAAAAAAAATTTTTTTTTTTTTGCTGGATAATTTTTTTTGTAACTTTTTTTTTGGATTAATTATTTGTTATTAATTACCCGTTTACTTAATTTTTAAATGGAAAACAGTGTATTCACAATTTAAATATATTTAGACGTACCTAGTTACTTATTTCTTAAAAAATATCGAGCATAATTTCTTCAATATTTCCTAATACCAAAATAATTTTTGAATTTTATTTTACCAAACATTCCTACTCGCTTTTTCTGTTCCTGTATAATGCATTTAATATTTCGTTTTCATTTTGATCAAGGTTTTTTACAGACTTGTGTGCTCATATTAATGAACTTAATTGTAAGCTCCAAGGTTTGAACAAAACTATCATAACAATGTTCGATTTGATAAAAGCTTTTGAAGCCAAGCTGGTCATTTTTAAAAGAGATGTTCAATCCAATGTTTTTAAATATTTTCCGAGAACTAAAGATTTTTTTCAAAGGAAAAATTTAGATAAAACTAATTTGGTAAAACAATTTATTGTTGTTTTAGATGCAATTTCGAGTGAATTTGAAGATAGATTTCACCAATTTAGAAAAATTGAAAACACAACTAAATTTATAATTTTTCCCGACGAAATAAACTTTGAAGAGCTAAATGTAGATTTTCTTAATTGGATAAACTTAGAAAAATTAGAAATGGAACTGGTTGAGTTTCAAGCAAGTTCCACTTGGAAACAAAAATTTGTGGATTTGAGGAGTGAGTTAGAAAAAATTGAAAAAAATAGATTAGAATTTTCAAATATTAAAAATGCAGATGACAAAATATTGGAGTGTTGGAATGCAATTCCAGAAAATTTTCTTTGCATGAAAGCACTTGCAGAAGCATTTTTAACTATTTTTAGTTCAACTTATTCATGTGAGGCATTGTTTTCATCAATGAATTACATTAAAAATATTCAAAGAAATAGACTTACAGATGAATCAAGTGCAGCTTGTACATTGCTAAAAGTAACCAAGTATGAGGCTGATATTAATGCTTTGGCATTAAAAGTTGACAAATAACTTAATTTTTTATTTATTTTTATTTAAGATTTAATTTCAAAATGAATGTGATGTTTAATTTGTTTTATTTTCTTTTATTTATTCTCGTTTAATTTAATTAAAGACTGAATTAATTTGTGTTTTTTTTTTGTAATGAAAAACTGTAATGTTTATTTTATTTTAAAAATAAAAATAATAGAAAGTAAGGCATTTATAGATTTCTCATTTTTCTCATCTTACTGATCCCATTACTTGAAAAATTTAAAAATAAACAACCAACCATTTATTATCTCACGAAAAAAAACTAACGCTTCAAAATTTCAACGGCTTCATGAAAAAAACTATCGATTTAAAATTTCAACGGCGATGCCCAGCAACCATTTCATATAAAATTGAAATTTAGTTTCCAAAGGAAATTTATTCGAAATAGTTAATTTTATTTAACTCATATAAAAATTGCTTTATAAGGTTGAAATATTCCAGGAAAACAAATATTTATTTTCATCAAAGTCATATCGAATTAATTTCCTACAATCGACATTGATTCATTTCATTAATTCATTGACCAAAAAAATGTTCTGACATTTTTTCGCTGAACCCTGGCACGTTTGAAATTTTATCAATTTTTTTTTCCAAAACTGGCACGTAGGTTCGTTGGGTCTTGCCATCTAGGATCTAGGATATCGCAATTTAATTGAATTGAACTATTCCAAAATGTGATAATTTATTTCAGATATTATAATCATTTGCAATAATCATCATTCTAATTTAAATATTTCACTTTGTATTCTGTGAACTAATGCGAATTTGAGTGAAATTCTTTAAAGAAAATTTTTTAAATACCATATATAATATTAATAAGAATTTTAATCTTTTAAAAGTAGAAAATAGGAAAATGCTGGAAGAAATGACATGTAGTGCAGCCATTATCATCACCATTACAATAATAATAATAATAATTTTTGTTACTAACTGTGTACATACACAGTATATGCCATAATTCTTTTAGTGGTTGTCAAGTAATAAAATTGCATCCCATTGGGTTTAAAGGCTTTTAAGAGCATAAATTTTATATTATACATTTCTATTATTTTTATTGATAGTTTTCGATATTATTTATAAATTGTTATATAAGTACTTGAAGATTTTTCTGATGCCATTGTTGTAATCAAAGAGTTGGTGGTGGTGAATGTGTTCAATAAAATATATATCGGAAATTTTATGAGCATAATTTAGGTCATGGAAAAATTTTCATAAATTCTTTTTAACAACTATTATTCAATTTATTGAAAAAAAAATTTTTCCGATTACTATATTTTAATTTTTTATTATTTTTTTATTTTTTTTCGCTATTTAAATCATTTTTTCTCTTTTTCAATTAAATGTCATTTGATATATGCAGGTATAAATCATAAAATGGGTATTGAAAATGAAGAAGTACGCTTGGATTAAATACACCTAAATGATTGTGAAGTGGTTAAATAATAATCAATTGTTATATGATATATAAAAAATTTTAATATTAGATTTATAAAATGTGTCACTGCTATATTCTTTCTTTGTTTGGATAGTATTAGTAAATCTAATGAAATTTAGACTAAAGCAATTAAAATTGTTTTGTGGGCAAAATCACTTAAGAACATTTCAAAACGTTTTTTACAAAAATTACCAAATTGACATTAGCCATTTCTGAAACTATGAATTACAAAATTTTTATTTTAATAACGATTTATTTCAATGCATGTCAACCACATATCCATCTTGCTCTCCCCGCCAGGCAGCCTCATGCTTTCTTTAAATCGTATTTTGGCCACATTTTTCATTTACCATCCCGCATATAGACAAAGCTTTCCATATGTGGTCGGTACACGATAGATAATGACTATATATTATATTCATTATCTGAACAACATCTGACCAACTCATATCCTCATTCATTTTCCGCTATATTTTGAATAATTTAACTTAATTTAACTTGTGATTTGTAAATTGGTTCCTCTACGTACTAATAGTTAAAACGGACTGCCGTCTGGACGAAACCAATTTTGTAGATTTTATAATGACTTATTCGTTCTAACTTTCTCAGAATTTCACTATTGTTAATAATATAATATTTTTTCTTGCAGAATAAATATTATAATAAAAACAAAAAAGATAATTTTTTTTTCTCTAGGATTTTGACATAATATTGAGTAAAAATCATTTAAAAGTTTGTTTGGAATATAACACATTCCATAGTTGATAAGTTAACACTTTACCATATTCTTTCCAAGAATCTTATACGATACATTGTTTTAGAATGTGCTCCTTCCCATATTAAATTGCATAGTTCATGCTTTGTTTTTAAAATTAGATCAGATAAGTTTTTTTGGAGAAAGATTATTTTACAAAATTCTCTAAGCATTTTTAATTTTTAATAAAAAAAATTTTATTACAAAAAAAAATGTGAAGATTATTATTATTATTATAAATCCTGAAATCTTTCATCATGAAAATGGTTATAAAGAATATCTATTGAAAGGGAAAATTAATTGCTTTTAATTAAAAATAAATTAAAGATAAGAATAAGAGATAGTTTCTGATATTATAGTTTTAGATAATGAATTTTCCACTCTTGCTTGCTTTTCTTTCAATTTTCTTTAATCTAAAAGTTTGAAACTGTTTGAGAATAATTAATATTAAAGGACAATCAATAGAAAAAAAAATTTATTACTTTCTTTTAAGAATTTTTGATCCTTATATAAATGAGATTTTTGTACAATATGAGAAAAATTGAAAAAAAAAATTTTAATTGAAATTTTCATTATTGAACTTTTTCTTTTTTTTTTTTTTTGAAGAATTTTCAACATTGTTTTGATTTTATGATAAAGCACAAAGGACCATAGAAATTTTGAGTTTCTGTATACATAAGAATCTAATAAACATTATTTTATTGGTATAACCTTAAAATCATTAAAATAATTCCAATAAAATTTTAGAATAAGAAACAAATTTCAAGCACGAGACCTGAATAGTCTTACAAACTAAATTAAACTTATAAGATTTTTACATTAAATTCGTAATAAATTAATTTCAGCTTTAATATTTGATGTTAATGAGAATAAAAAATATAATCTGTTTGTATATTAAATTACTGTTAATGTTGAAATATTGCAATAATATTATTGCAATATTTCTAAGATAAATGCAAACAATTTGAATATTAAATTGAAAAACCTTCTGTATTCTATTTTTTCATATTTTTTTCTCTCCAATTTGTACTTTAAAATTTGATGATGCAAAAAAAAATTTCCTTTATCTCAAAAACTTCTCTTCATTCCAATAAAAAAAAATTTTAATAGGAAACACTTTAAAATTGAAAATTATGACAACGAAAAGATAAAGCATATTCAAATTGACATTTTCAAAGTAATTCTCTTATAGCAATCTAAGAATATTTCTTGTATATAAAAAAGTTTTTAGTTATCCTTAAAGCAAATTTCCTTACTATACAAAAATTAGAATTGACAGCTTAAAAAGTAACGTTTCATACTTAAAATTTAAAAAAAAATTCTTTCCTTTCCTCCATTCTTTTAATATTTTTCTGTTCTTTTTGTTTTTGGTTTTTTGATAACTTGTCAATTTAACAAATTCTAATAAAAGAGATCGTGCAAAAAAGTTATCTACTAAATATTTTCTTTAATATTTTAGAAATAAATTTTTTGTTAAAGTTTAGACCCAGTTTCAGGGTTCTTATTGTGGTTGAATTCAGTCGACTTTTTTTGTTTTAATTAGAATTAATTATTCAAAAACTAAAAATTGACAGGCTCTTATTTAATTTGTAAATCTATAAAAGGTAAGTACGGATAGCTACTTTTCTCTTAGAAGGCAATAACAGAATGACCTTTTTGTTTTAAGAAAAAATTAATAATTAACATGTTTAAAATTTTACAGTTACAATGTAAAAAGTCTACAAAAAGTTAATCTTGGTTAATACACTATTCAAATAAATGTCAAAATAATGCGAAGTTGTTGACAGGCTAAGGAAAGAGATTCAACACTCCTGGAGAGAGTTTTCTCCCAGAAAACGATTAGCAGCAATTTATTTATGAGTTATGATATGCGACTTTCATTTTCGTTTTCATCTTCGGAATATTGTTCAGATTCAGTTTTCATGTCGCCACGGCTTCATGTAACTTACACTTATGGTTGTTTTTTTTCGGACCCTCTTTGTTGCCAACTTTTTCAACTTTGTATCTTTCCTTTCGGTTTTGTTTTCTTACTCTTTAAGGACCTAAAAACTTTGAAAATAATTTTGTGTTATTAAAAAATTGGGAGCGTTTAATCGCAACTAGATATCTTTTTATTTTTTAATAAAAAGAGATCTACTTGCGATATAGAGATCTTGTTTGTACTTTGTAATAAAAGTTTGAAATATTTTATATTTGCTCCGATTACTAACAAGTTATTTTTGCCACAATCAAAATTGTTAAAATTGAAAATGCAGTCTCTATAAAATACATTAATTTTATTTTTGGTGCATAAAAGTGAGTTGCATAGAAAATGATTCATCAAAAAATATGAAAAATATAGGAAAATGAAAGAACGCAACGTTTCGAGCTTTTCGTATAAAAAAAAAACTCAAGAAAATTTGAAATTTATTCTAAAGAATTTTCTTTTTCCACTCAGGCTAATATTCAAAATTTTTTACTGCTTTCATATTTATACCTGGATGTGGAAATTTTTTCTATTTTGGGTTACTTAAATTTTATGGAGGATCTATTGAAGCCACATGGAAGAAAAAAGAATTTTTTTTTTTAACAATAAAAATTTAAAAGCATTTTTCTGTTTTCCCATGAAATGTGTAACTTTAATATTATTTCTTTTTTTTTTTGTTTATTTTCTGATTATTTCGCCCTCAAAAAATTGAAATTGGAAGAGCAAAACGAAGAAATATGCATTCAACATTTGTTACTTTTCCAGTAAGAGAAAAAAAATTATTCTCAGTATTTCCACCCAAATATATGAATACAGAATAATTTAAAATTGAAAGTAAATTGCGAAAATTATTCTAACATTTTAGAAAAAAAAAAACTCAACATAACATTCTTGCATAAATTCAGCCACATTTTTAATAGAAGATTTCACAAGAATCCTTAAAAGATCAGAATAAGAAATCGAAAATTTTAAATCTTAACTTAAATAAAATATTTAAGGCTTTCTAAGACCAATAAGAGTAACCAACAAAAATTTACCATTCATCTGAGCTAATTAATCATATAACTAAGCTAATTAATCATAACCTTGAATCATATTTAAAATTGAATTCCTTTTGAACAATTTTTCCCCTATTTTAAATCGAAGAACCTTAATAATGTTTGCCGTGATATCTTATAACGCTGGATTTACAAAAGAAAAACTATATATTCAAGTTTTTTTTTTTCAAAATTTATGGCAGTGAGCTTGAAAACACCTCGGGTCCATATACCTTGTTGGTAACGTATATTGGACAGTTTGCTTGAACCAAAAAGAAAAATTTAAATGATTAATCAACGTTTGTTTCCGTCCCTTCAGATATTACAAATTTAATTCCGCTTCACTACAACAGTTTCACAGAAAATAGTACACCAGTGGAAAAACACTTTTAGAAAATATTCCGTTAAACTGTTGAATTGCATCTTATGATTTTGTAGTTAAAGAAAACCAGGAAAATGAAGTCCCTAAATTGTGATTGCCATAGCTCATATTGACTGCCCGTCATACTGAGTCTAGCTGTATGTGTCAGTCGTCGATTGAAGAACCTACAAGCTGAAATACAAAAAAAAAGTAAGTGTATGAATTTTTTCTGAAAAATTTTATTGATTGGCAATGAAAAAAGTCCTTTTTTTTTTAAACAGTTGTTTTGCTTTAAATTTTTTCTTTCCCTTTTTACGTTTTTTTCTTTCTTACATAAAGTTAATTTCCAAAAGATGTCGCATTCCTTATTCAACTTTTGTAAATAAATCAAAAATAAAAATTTTTTTTAATGATTTCAAGACTTTTTTTGTGAATAATGCAATGCTCTTCGCAGCTGCAGTTGAAAGTTTGTCGCTGTTCTTTTTTTTTTTCTTTTTGGGCTCAAACTACGGGCAAAAAAAACGAAAGTGTTTTTTTTTGTTCATTCTTCATTTTTGGTTTTCTTTTCCCGTTAAAATGAATGGGAATAAGAGAAAAATTTGACATTAATAAATTTTCATTTTTATTCTTTGTTCATTTTTAGAAATTTTACTGTTGGTTTCAAATTATATGTTCCGTGTTTCTCTAGACTGACAAATAACATGCATTTAGAAGGGAAATTTGGTGTAAAATGATGACATAAAAAATTCAGATTCACTGAAAAATTAAATTTTTTTTTTATCTTAAAACTCGTTCACTGTCTTGTGTTCAGTAATCCAATAATATAGAAAGTGAAGATACTTTTTAGTGTAATTTTTCAAATTCAGACAAAAAAAAGAGGAAGCCATCAAGATCGGAAAAATTTTTATTATTTTTAGTTGGCATGTTTTTGAATATCAAAAGAAATTAAAAATTTGAATAGTTTTTTTTTTTAATTTTGTACACGTGTCTTTAAGAGTGAGACTTTTTTTTTGATTATGAATACCGTATAAAAAATTCAGTTCAATACAGTTTATTGCAAAGTTTAGAATGAATTCTCTTAGCTTTTCGGATTCAGAATCCCATCATGGTCACAATTAAAAATTACCAGACACGACCTCATGGGTTACCAATAAATTGAAATTGTAAAACTCTATATTTGGAAGATTAGTTAGGTGAACTTCTCAATTCCGGAAATCCGATTATTTAGTTTTGAAACTTTTTACACCGCAATTAACGGACAATGTTATCTGAAATTCTTAAAATGATGGCAATCAACTCTTTGAATAGCTATGTATAAATATAATTTTCCAATAACCTATTTCTTTTTTATTGAACACACAAATTTCCAGCATACACAAATAATGTTGTTGTATCAAAAATCTTATATATTTATATAAGGAATCAACTAGTTGCTATATGATTGTTACATAACAAAAGTATAATTAGATTAAAGGGTTAAATTAAAATATCTCACTCATAAACTTTATACTACATACAATAAATTGAAATTTCTCTATTGGTCGATTACTTTGCAGTTTTTCCAAAAACAAGGAAAAACAACACTCTTAGATATTCAAAATACAATACAATGGAATTTCATTTAAAAATCAATAATATTGAAATATCATGTGAAGTGATCTCAAATTTAACAATACAAATAATGAATGAGGAAGAAAAGAACCATATATAAACTGTAACAACAATTACTTTTAACTTATGATTTTAATAGTAAACCCTTCCAATATGTACCAATACATGCGACATTTATATTTTTGTAAGGCTCTAAAAATATTGCCTTTTCTAAAAATAATATCATATATAAAAAGTTTAACATTTAAGCTCCTTTTAAAATAAACCAAGAAGAAAATCCTTAAACATGTTAAATAAAGTGAGTTAGTTTTTTTTTACCACGATTAAAACATTGTGTTGTTAAAAAAGGCTTTATAATGACTGGCAAAATTCACTATATAAAGCACGTGCACGAACTCTTGAATCCTTTTACTATTTTCGACTACTATTATTCATGGTGATTTTGCAGTTTTCGTTTTTTTTCCATTGAATAAAACTGAAGGAAGTTTTCTAAAAATAAGTACTTAATATTAATAATAATGGTTATTTCTCTTGAAAACTTGTTAAAAAAATTTCCTTTTAAATGTAGCAATTTTTAGAAAAAAAAAATAATACCAAAATGTTGGTCTAATTTTTTTTTTATTTTGCTATTATTATTTTTTAATATTTTAATATGCTGCTCATTAGAAAGTAAAAGAAAAAATTTAAATACAATATTGTGAATATTGAGGTTTTTTTAAGAAGTATAATATTCCTATATAATTAACTATAACAAAAATTCTATATAATTATATAATATTATACAAGGAAGTTGGGAGTAGGTTTAATTGGAACAGTGTTTTCTGTTAAAATGCTGTTATGTAACAGTAAAAAATTATATAATAATTTGAAAATGGCTACCGAAAATAAATGTCCTTTCTTATAAACTTTTTGTTTAGAGTGGTTTATACCTAGTAAGAGAAAGTTAAGAGTGTTATATGCCCTCAAATGGAAAGCTTTCGTGAAATTTCAAAATCCCAGTACATAAATACTGGATGAGGAAAACTAACTGCACATCTACCATTTATATTCCTTATTTATTATATTTTTTTTTAAATCAGATAAAAATCTCAATAATTTGAAAAATTTCTACGATTTTGTATACGATGCTTCTAGCTTCACACGAATAAGTACTTGCTTTGCTTTTTTAAATTGCTGCTTGTACAAATTCATTAAATATAATTAAATATATCGTGTCCAATCTATTAAAATAAATTTTAAATTTCAAAAATCAAAATAAGTAAACGAGTAGAGTGAGAAAAATAATTACACACGAATTGATTTTCATTCAAAAAAAAAAAACAAAATTATAAAAAACTTATATAAAATTTTCCCTTCTTGAAAAATTTGATGTCACTGTACTTTTTCAACAAAAATAACACTTTTTCTATAAAATTTTAGATTATTTTTTCACTACAACATCATTGAGTTAATAAAATTAAAATTTTCAGTTTAGTTGTTCAAGTTACAAGCACTACGTATACTATAATTCGATTAAAATATGTGAATATTTTCCTTTTTTTCCTGTGTTTCGGATTACCACCACTACCTCATAGAATATAGACCAAGATTACAGGTTTCAATTAGTTATCCCACTTGTATGTAAAGTGAAGGATTAAAGTTTTAATTTTTATTGTCATGTTGTTTTTTTTTCACTTTCTACTTTGTAAATAGAAGGTTTTAATATAATCAAAAACCGAATCTATGGTAAGAAAAAAAAATTTTTTTTGTGTTATAGACTAAGCTCCGGATATTAGAAAACACAATATTTTGAACAAAAAAAAAGGATAGAAGGAAAACTGAAATTGTGCTTAAGTAAAAAGACAATTTTCTCGATAATTTTAAATGTCCGTCTATAATATTTTTTGTTGAATTTATTTGATCTACAACTTACCTACAGTTTAATGCAAGTATATAGAGTTGTGTCAATCTATATTTCAATATTATGAATGTTCACTGTTTTGTCATATCTGCTATATTGTTTGCTTTTTGATTCTCTCTCATTTTTCTTACTTAACATACTAAAAAAAAACGTGGCTAGTAAACTCCATTATTTGCGGAATACTTTTGCTTTAACGGCTTCGCTCTTTGCCATCATACACATTAATTTTAAAATGAAGGATTTAATGTTGATACAACACAGAATCATTAAACATTTCACAATAAAGCAGTTTCCCAAATAATTTCCAATGAAAAATCTGCAAAAGAGTAAAACTGATATAATTTTTTTAAAATTTAATTATTACTTCAATTTGGAACCCTTTAACAACTGTTTACTGCATGATGAAGTTTTTGTCAATTTCAATTTGGAAATATTTTTTCTCTTTTTGTTTTCTTACCTATATTAAAGCATTTTTGGTAGTTAAAGTTTTTAACTAAAATTTTCTTTTTTTTTAGATTTTTTACTCTGAATATTCGATTAACAAAACTTTTGAATGTTCATCGTATTGAAAAAGCATTGAAAACAAAATAAAAAGAACAAGAGTTTCTTGGCAGGTATGCGGATATTATTTCAAATATACACTTTACTAGTATTTAAAAAGCATAACAGTTTTGTATTACACAAGAAGAATTACGGAAAATTTTGTGTTGCGAGAAGAAAAGCAGATGTATAAAAACTTTGCAATGATTCGTTTTGTTTTTGTGAATTTTCGCGCATTTTATAAAAACTGGACAATTTTTTCTTTATAAATGGACAAATTTCATTACTAGTATTGCAATTTCGTAGTCTACTCTTATTTGAAACTCAAGATAACAAAAATTTATAAAGTGTAACCATACTTTTTCTTTTCTTTTTTTTTTGTTGGTTTTATTATAGTAAATTTAAAAGTAATAAATTTTTTTTTTATACACCTTATGATTGAAAAGGAATCCGTGTGGATAGTGTAAAGTTATCTTACACGTAAATTATATTTGGTTTTTTTTTTTACCAAATTACCTTGAAACGTTGATCTACTTTCAGGAGAAATTTTGAGGACTCTTGTTTATGAAATAAAAAAAAGGTGTTTTTTTAATTAAATTTACAAAGAGATGAACATATAGTTGGACTTGTATTTGGAAATTTTTTATTTGCAAGAGGAAACCACACTTTATAGAATTTTTAGGTAGATATTGAAATTTTTGAAAAATTTGAAATTTCAAAGCCACATTTCACATAGTGTTCAAAGTTTAAAACAATTTTAATGCTTTATATTAGTTTTTTTTTAAATGTATTTGTGTTATTTTTAACGAGAATTTTAAATAAAAACAAATTGAATATGAGAGACTGATTTGTGTATTTATTTTTGTTTAAAAATTTTTAAGAAATATTTTTAAAATGCTCTTAAATTCAAGTCTAGTCATTGAATCAAAATATACAGGTGTCATACAGGATTCCGAAAACTGTAACGACTGTAACAAATGTACATATAAATGAGAAAGCTTACCTTATTATCTGATACAGAAATACTGTTATACTCAAAATTTCAGAATGTAAAAAAGCACTCGAGGATTGTTTTTAGTCCCTAAAACTCCATTGATCCAAATGAGCTGCAAACATTGCCTCATGGTCAGCGCGCAGCTTGGAGTTCTAACCTCCAGGACACTCTCGGCCGATTTCTCAACAAAGGTGCCTTTCTCCCCTTTTCTGATTTCCGCTTTAAGGCAGTCAGCGTAAGGCATGCGCCATCCTATCCAGGGCGAGTTTTCCTATCTCGCCGATTGTAGATGCGTTCCATTATTTCCTCTTGAATACGAAGAAAAAATCTGACTGTTCTGCAACAAGGCCTCTAGGAAGTCTTCGTTAAGAATTCCAATCGTGCCAACCATATTGATAAGATATTCTTCCCCTACGTCAAAACTCACATACCTGTATGTAAAAAAATAAAAACAATTTTGAAAAATTGTGCATGGTAAAAACATGTATTTAATTAATTATATGAATTGTTATAGTTATAGATTTGTATATGTGCACAACAGAAGCGACAATACACTGCGACCGCGTATAGGGATCTATTATGCCTTATCTTATATGTGCGGACATTCCGTTACATTTGTGAGACATTTAGTAAGACCCGGAAGAACTAACTCCGCCACTGTGAAGAGCAAAGGTCCCCGAATTTTAATAATTAACGCAAATTTCACTAAATTTTCTTGTTGGATTCATAACAAAGTCCGGTCCGGTTTATTTATTCTTTATTTATTCTTAGAAGTTTATATTCAATTTAAATATTAATTTTGTGGCGGGTTTGGTGGTAAAAAATTTCTAATGTGTATGGTGCATATTTATAAGATTGTAATTGTCATTTTTGAAAAAACTCTTTTTAATAATTTGAATAGAACAAAAGTTTCTCTCATGTGAATGACATTTTATTAAATACAATTTAGTTTCTTTTTTTTTAAATGTGCAATCAATCTGGTTCGAAAACTTCTTATATACATAACGTGCATATAGTAATATTAGCAAATATCTTATGATATACATTTTATACATACATAGATATGGCAGAGGATATTGCATTAGTTAACATTAAAACAATATAATGTTATTATTTTTCAATTCAGAATGTTTTTACTCCCCGTTGGGGTTTAATATGAATACTTTAAAATTGTCATATGTTACTTAATTCCCCTTTGATCTAATAATTATATAATACAATACTGGTGTCTTTAAATACGAGTATATATTTATAATTATGTGTAAGTCAATAGTAATATTTTTATAACTAAAATATTTTACATATAGTTTACAAAATGCACTCAAATATATTAATAAATAAAGATGTTCAAGTTTTTTATTTATTCCCTAAGGACGAACGACAATATTTTATAAAAGGATACAAGATAAATTTACAATGGTTTGCAATTAAGTTATGTTCGCTGTTTGCATAACTTCAATAGTGTCTAATATAATATATGCATATTTTTACTTTATAACTTGTAAGTTATTTGATTAAACTTAGGGTTAGATTGAATTTTATTCTTTTTTTCACATATATCTCGTTCTGAATTTGAATTCTAAAGTGTTTCAATCTAGGATGGGAAGTAAAAAAAGAAACAGTGGCAGCTATTTCTAAGAAACAAATGTGGCATCACTAAAACAGAAAAGTTATAAATACTGTCGAACACGAAAGCACTACAAGCGTCTATCAAAATGCAGATCTAACGTCAACTTAACTTATTCGGTAATTAAAGCTTTACTTCTGAATAAATTAATTGACATCACATCTCTATTTGTTGACGCTTTATATGTACAATAAATTGACGGTACTAAAGCTTAACTGAAGTTTAGTCGTAATATAAGGTGAACTAAATAGATAATGACACAAAAAAGATACAAATAAAATAAAAAATTCAGAATTACCATGATTTTCAGCGATTTTAATACGAAATTCCGAAATTAAAAGCTGAATATAGTATATTATAAGCATATAAGCATAAGTACATATAAATATTACTGCATTTTTACATATAAGAAAAGTATTATCGCATTTCAAAAGTCAAAAATAAATAATCTTGCAAAATTATACAAAAATAAACTGGCCAATAATTTAAAGTAAAAATGCATCCAATATGTCATTTCAATCATTTCTTTCCGGGAAAGTATTTTTATTCTTTCTTTTTTGTCAAAATGTTAAATTGAAATTTATAAAATAAGTATATTAAAAATGATGTTATATAAACAAAACATTTGAAATGAATAAAAGGATATTGTAATATTTAAATTTTTAACATTATAAAATCTGAATTTCAAAAAACAAGCAAACATTGTATAAGGAAAGTGAGCATCCTTTGAAGAATATAAAATGCTCTATTTAGGAACATACAAAAGTTAAGCAGCATGGACGGCCTTAAATTCTGTTATATAAAACTAATTTTTCCAGCAACTTGTAGCCAAAACTTTCACTTTAATGTCGAAAACTTATCAAAATTTTCGTTGACCGTATAAGCTTTTCATTTGATTCACTCGACCTATCTTATAAACTCGTTTCATTTCATCTGATTTTTTGAAATTGAAATCAGTAGAAAAATTGATTTCTAAAATAATTGAAAACTATAGTACATAACGGCACATAACCACAAATTTTCTTGATTTTTATCTGGTTTTGTCATTCTTGGATTTTTGTATCACAGAATAGATTATAAAATTTAATCAAATGTATAAAAGCGAATGAAAGGAAGTTAAGAGGACTTTTTTTTTTGAAGTTTTCATTTTTTTGGAAAAATATACTATGTATTTGAAAAAAAATTAAAAAAAAAATTGGAAAATCTGGAACAAAGAATTTTTCAATGAAAATATGAAGAGCTTTAGTTTTCTTTTCCTTTCTAGTGTAAATTCCAGGAAAAGAAAAAATTCATTTTAAAGAGATTTCAAAAATTAAATTTCCGAGATTTAATGTTTTAGACTGAATTTTGAATTTCCTTTATCGTATATTTAGAAATTTTAATATAAAATCAATATTTCACTTTAATTATTTGAAACAAAATGAAAAGTCCAATTTCTACCTTGTTAAATAAGAAAATAATTTTAAAATTTATAGAAATATTGAAGGAAAATTTTAAGAACTACAAAATTTAATTCACAATACATATTCTTAATTTGCGATCTGTTAGTTTAAATATATGTGAGACCAAAATATTAGAAAATTGCAATTCATGCATTTAGTTTTCCATTTTTATTGTTGTTGAAAATATTTAGTCAATAAACTAAAACACAATATTTTGTTGAGGTTTATTTGAAAACTGTTGGAGCATAAATTTTACATTTTTTTTTTGCCCTAAACATAAACTTAAAAAACAGTTACTCAGAAGATTCAATTCTTGAATTAAAATACTTCAAATAAAATGACACGGGGAATCCGACCGTCTAAATAAGAGAGAGCATTGTGATGATCTAACGGGTGTTGACACAATGTGATTTCTGCCAAGTGCAAAAGAAGGAAATTCATTGAAACCATGATCTTCAAAGTTTACCTGATGTGTTTACGTTGGTTTATAGAGTGACGAACATGCCTATTCTTAACCTTCTCGTGATGTCCGCTGGTAGCATGTGTTTGATGCGCGGTTAAGTTGCAAAGGCTTTATCGAGTACGTGGGTTAACATCACACTTATCTTAGATTCAGCTGTCGCCAATCAAATAAAGGGAAATAATAAATGCTTGAATAACTCCAAAGTGAGGCCTACTGGTCGTGCTCATAAACCTACAATGAAGGAGTAGTGGTTCATCATCTACACCATTTTCTTCATTTTCGATGACCATCGATAAATGAGGCTGAGACCATCTATAAAATGAGACTTTCATATGACTATATTATTCCTTATGCGTCCAATAACCGGTTTTGTTACAATGTTTCTTCTTTATTTAAATCCACATACTTTGAATAATTCCATAAAGCGAAAAATATTTACTTTTTCACATATTACTTGCATATTGGAAAAAGCATACTAAGTAAATATTTAAAGATTTCAAATTTTCATAAAAAGATAGATTAAGATGTTGAAGCATGATAGTGCAAACATAAAATATAGAGAAATAATTCTAGATATTGGATATTTTTTATTAAGATTTTTGTTTTATATTTTGAAATTGACTTAGGAGAACTAAAAAAGAAAAAAAAAAGTAAAAATTAATATTCGCATATCCTTTTGACCTATTTATTTCATATCTATTCAATCCTTTTATTGAATATTTTACTTTTTTTTTTTTTGCTTTTTCTATAATCCTTTTTTGAAAACATATGAGACTATTTTCTATTTTTTATTTACAAATACGTACACATATACATGCAATCAGTTTACATTATACTCTTTGAGTTTTATTAGAAAAATAAAACATTCTTTTCTCATAATATTTTTTATTGCTTCTCCTATTAAATTTGGCTGTAGAAATTTAGATGGATACGTGGAAAAAGAGCAATATTGAAAGTTTTCAAAACAACCATCATTCGATGGTTCCTATATTAAAAAAGCTATGTATTTTATGCATATTGGAATTTGAAATGTAAAATAATTCAATGTTAAAATCACTGGAATTATTTTAATTAACTTACTAGAATTTCGTATTTTCTTTTTAACATTTCATTTAACAAGCATAATACTTTTATTTGCGTCGAATTTAATTTCAGTGCCATGACAATTTAAAAATTCAAAATATTTATTGCGAATATAAAAATTGCAAAAATTCGAATGATGTACAGTGTATACAACGCAATATGTGGAAATAAAGTTTGAGAGAAAATAAACATTCATATGTTATTCACACTGTGATAGTTTTATCCTTACAGCTGACCCAGATGGGTTTTAGAATTTGTTTAGCTTAATATAATCTAATTTTTTATGAGCTCAGTCAGGTGATAAAGTTAAAAAATCTCAGTTGGAATAAAATAAGACTGATTTACTTTTAAAATTTGTATAAACTTTAATGAATGTAATTGAATCCCGTGATTTTATATATTCACAATTTCAATGAGACTGTAGGAAATCTATAATTATGACACCATTATTCACTAACAAAAATTCACAATTAATGTGCTTTTAAAATTATAAATTTCTTGAAAATTTTTTAAAATATAAAATTAAATTTTTATTATAGTTAGTAGTTACTGTTTAAAAAATTTCATATGAATTTTTGTTTTTCTTTTACTTAAATATAATTTTCGATTAATTCTTCTTTTCATAAAATATTTCATATTAGATTATTGGGATTCACTTTTATCTTTCGATATTTTTTTTGGAAATTTCAAATAAATTAAAGAACCTTTTCACTTAAATTAAAAGAATGAGAAAAGCAAGTAGATGATAATTTAAGAATATTGAACTAAAGGAATAACAATATGCAATACAAAACGATCTCAGTTTTTCTTTCCTTTTTTTTCAACTTCAACAAAATCCGTTTTTTTTTTTGTACATCAGTAAAGCCATACACATAATAAAAAAAAGCGTACATCCTTTTAATCTCTTCCAAAATTTATATAAAATATTAATGACCATCATAACAAAAAAAGGGATGAGTCCCTTTTTTTCAACTTTGATAAGCCTTTCTTCTAAAAACAGAATAAAAAATTATGTATCTGATTGAACACAAATGCTAAAATACGAGTATATGTGAAGATTCTTTGATTTTTGTGGATTAATGTTTAATGATATCATAAATAAACAAAAATTATTTTAATTGCACACTATATTGTATAGCAGTTACCAAGTTCATAAAAGTATTTGTTTATTAATATCATATCCATTTTACACTTTAGGGGGAAAATTTAATGCCTGCATAATCACCTGAGGATTTCAGTTATTTACAAATATAACCTCGAGTCAATCGACACATATTGGCGATTTTTCGTTTTTTTTTTTTATAATAAAAAATTATATTAATTGTAATAATAATTACGTTCTACAATTATCATGTATTTTATAACGGTTATCAATTAATAAGCAATTCAGAACTAGCACGAGTTGACTTCATTGATAGACACCATCCACATTTTATGGGGTTTTGATCAATAGCTTGAAATGCTTGAATGGAACTGACAATCGGATGTATTTGGAAATCAAATTGACCTCTAATTGCTGGTGAAATTACTAACCTCATATTGATTTGGACTGTAAACTAGAAAATACCGGTAAGGCACTACTCAAACCTCAACAAAGTTTACAGGCACTTAGAACTGTTCTAATACTAAAACTTTGTCATAAACTGATTCTTGGCTGCATATTGAAAAGGGCCTTATATAAAATAAATCAAAAACGCAGTCCAGTTCGACCATGGTTTCATTGATTCCCCCAAGCCATATTTTTATAGCAAGTTGAAAAGAGTCTTTTGGATGATGAACATGTTCTGGGTTCAGAATATTAGATTGATAAAAAGGGCGGGTATGTTCCACAGGCGAATCGCTGTGTTCGTAAAACTACTAAGTTGTTGAACGGGAAAGATTATGTGAATTGTATCAGGTTTCTCGCCCACACAGAACCCTCGAAGTCGAGGCCAACGAGAGGGAAGAATCAGGAATTGATTTGAAAATTTGAACTTTTTAAATTTAAATTTCTAACATTAGATATATACCTATGATATATTTAAAAATTTTAGGTGTTGAAATTCCATTTTGAAAAAGTCCAAAGTCTTCTTACAATGCTGAACATATAGCCGCAATGCATAAAACTGATTTTTTTCGGATGAAATTTCCCATAAATTTACCAAAATATTTTGAAGTCGACCTAAAAATAAATTAAATAATATTCAAATTAATATTTTTTGATAATTTTATTAGATTTTATAATATAAATATTATTATAAAACATATAATTTGAATTTAAATAAGAAAATATGAGAGACGAGTAATATTGTAATTTTACTCATATTTAACTAAGTGTACCTTTTTCTGAAATTTTCCAGATAATTTTTGTATATTTTCGAATTTTATTATCAATATTATTTTGCTGGTATACAATATTAAGATTATGCAATAATTTAACTATTATACTGTTTATGGTTTCTTGTTCTCATTTACTAGTGATTTTATGTGTTATATTTTAATGCATAATAATTACAACAATGAAAGCACGTTAGAATTGAATCCCCGTTGGAAAACGGTTTTCAAACCGGAACTCTTCAATTATTAAAAAATGATTTCATGTGTTGACAAAATTTTTTGAACTTTAACATTGCTGTTAAAACATCGTAGATTTGTTCGAATCAAATTTGAATGAGCTTCTATTGACATAGAAATTTCATCAATAAAACTCGTTGTAAATCCTTGCTCAGACTATTAAGCCACTATCATTCTAATACCCTCCCCTTCTACACTAAGACTGCATTTTATAATTAAAATCATCGGACTGATTCAATATTTACTGATTGAATCACCGTTTACTTTAATATTGTTGCTTCGTCTCTCTAGCATTGCTTCTTCTCTTTTTTTTTGGTTCCTTCCAGTCCCTTTATCAACTATTTCATTTTGTTTTAATTTAAAGCAAATATATATATATATATATGTTTATATCTGTATTTTAATTCTCTACATTTAATATTCTTGTACGTTATTGTTGTATACAATATAAAGTTTTGGTTTAAAGTACAAAACTTAATTTTTGTAATCCTTTTTACTATTTTACAACTTTTCATATGCTTGTCTGTTAATATTTGTTTATTTAAAGTTGTACGTGAATATTATCCGGAAATATTGGTAAAACAATAATTGCTTTTAGTCACGGATTTTCAACATAAATAGGTGAGTTTTAATGCATATAAGTTAGGTAGTTTTGTTGTTTTTTTTTCTTTTTTTGTTTTTAGTTATCCTTATCATACTTTTATATTAATGTAAAACTAAATACACAAAAGAAGAACATAATTATCAACACATTTGCATGTTTTTTTATATTTATATTTAAACACTGTGCTAGTGTGCCCTTCTATAGGTTTGAAGAATCATAGAACAATGGTAAATACAATAGTTATAATAATAAAAAACTTATTTGTTTAGTCTGTTTCTGATGGAAGATTTTCTTCTTTCCCCTCCCTTCTCCGTCTCATATGGAATGTAAGAGTCCAAGAGAAATTTTTTCAATATATTCGAAATCTTTTAACTTTGTTCGGCTGCTCTTTCTTATGAATTTTAAGGCAAATAAGACAAAGTTCATAGTGGATATGAAATTATGTAAGTGAAAAGATTTCAACAAATGGAATAGTTCCACTGTTGTACTCTCTTTTAGTTGTAGGAGATTAGAACAAAATTCCGTAAAGGAGTTATAGGGAATAATTTAATTTTCTAAAATGAAAAGATTTTTAAAACATTAAAGACAATGCTTGTTATCTATTTGAATCTACACAATTTAATTATAGCTTGTATATAGTTTGAATATTGCTAGTGTTTTAAGCAATTTTAAGTAATTTCTATAAAAATATGTACATCTGTATTTAATTAAACGTGCTTCATCTATCTATAATTTGTTTACCATTAAATGAACATCGGTATTTTTTATAATAAAAGTTAAAAATAATATTACTATGTAAGTTATTTTTTTCTTCGATTTCATATTACGTTTTTGCACCTTATATTTGTGTTATATGTATATACATATATTTAATAAAAATAAATTATGAAAATTTTGGGTAGTTTTAATTACATACAATCACGTTTAGCTATATACTAGAAAATTAAAGAAATAAAATTTACATGATATAGAAAATAATGAAAAATCTTATTACAATTAAATTATGTGGGGGCAAATAGCTTTTCTTTAACCAGAAAATATTTATTAAAATAATAATTAACAAGTATTACTTATTTGAATCTAGTACTAATAAATTATCAATCTCAACGATATTAATCTAATATTTTAATTTATATATTCTTTTTTAAATATATTTTTGTTTTTTATAAATATCATTCTACATACTTGTAATATTACTAACAATATACCTAATACTAAATACATCAAACCCTATAATACATATATACACATACAGTAACCGAATATCTGTGGGTTCTTATTTAAGACCCTCAATTATTTTCGTTGACGAATTTTTCCAAAATTTTATCAAGTAAATATACAGCGGAGTGTGGTTTGTTGTGGAGGGATGCCGATAAACCTTCTATTAGCCTAGTGCTGGGTGGCTGCGTTGGGAGTGCCACCTCTTCTCTCTAACTAACTATCTAACTACTACTGAAAAACATATTTACTTTTAAAAATTAACTAAATTGCAAGAAATTGTAACCATAATTTCTCTTATAACTTTATTTTATTCAATTATTCATTATTCAATTTTCACTTACATATTTTAATATAGCATCGATATCATGACACAAAGAATTTCCACAGCAATTTATACATATACTGTGTTATATAATAATCCAAGTTTTATTAAAATCATAAATTAAATTTTATAGGTATTAACACTGTTATTGCTTATTACTTTCCAATTACCTAATTATAAAAGAAACTCTTATAATATAAAAATAACGAGATCGCACAAAATTAAACTTTTTTTTTCCTTTTTCTTCTCCTTCCATTTTCTGTATTATTTTCTATATCTTGTTTTAGAAACCACAAGGACACTTAAAACTAGAAGAATTTAGTATAAAGCACTTTAAAAATAAAATAAACTTTTCATTTTTAAATTAGAAGTTTTGTATAAAACAACTTAAAAATTGTAAAATAACAAGAAGAATTCAAAACAACAAAAAAACAAGTAAAAAAAATTGGAAAATAAGTAAAGTTTTTCCTTAGGGCTGATTTTATGTTAAACGCATATTTACACTAAAGTTTTGAAGCGAAATTACATTTTTATCCTGGGAGTTTTGTCAGCAGTATTTTTTCAACTTGACTGAAGACATTTTAAAACTAAAAGAAAATTTTATTTTTTCTAAAAAAAAATATTTTCTTTTTCTTTTCCTTTTATTTTCTCACCTTATTTTAAAAAGTTTTATGGGAAAAAAAATAATACGTGTCTGATACCAAAGATAATGGTACACTAAACTCTATAATAAAATCTTTATGTATAAACCCATAATTTGAAATGAATATATCTGATTATTTTATTATTATTTTACAAAAAGCTATATATACATTAATTTCACGATAATGAAGTTATCAGGATTCATTTGGATTTTGCAGGGAGGGAAAGTAATACATTTTCAATTTTTAATCGCTTTTACATACTTAAAATATTAACCAATTATTTAAATTTTAAAGACTCGATATTATCCTAATTCTATTACTGTTTTAAATCGCTTGAATCTTAAAATCTTTCTATTTCTTTTTAAAGTAACAGGAAAAATAAGCAACAAGGCTGTACGTTCACTTTGATTACTTAGATTGTTAAAAAAATATAGAACTATCATTTAGTTGTTTTAGAGCATTAGTAATTCTGATTGAGATTTAATATTCTTGCCATAAGATACTAAAAGGTTATATATAACAATAGAATTAGTGTTACTCGTCAATAGGAACTGCTCAGTAAGTAACCAGATTAGAAAAATACAAAAGTTTTTAAAATTTTCTGATATTAAAGATTTTTCAAACAAAAATTGCTTAATGCTCTATAAGACTATAACTGAAATTTAAAAAAAAAATGTTCAACTATATCATAAATGTAAAGATCACTTCATTAATACTGTATTCTTAATTTTAAAATTCAATTTAAACAAAAATAAATGAAAAAAATTGTTAAAATGACTTGATAAAACTTTCAAAGTTTTTAAATTTTCAAAGGTGACAAACGAATTTTTAACGTTTCGCAAATCATTTTATAGCTCTTAATTCATAAAACCTACACATTCAAACCTACACTGTTATGGTTTGTACAATGAATTTTGTGTTGTGCAAGGAAATTTTCATATTCTTTTATTTTTTTTTTTAATTTAATTTTATTTCGTTTAGAAAGTTTTCATGTTTTCCTATTTCAAAGGAAAATTATTTATGTAGGTGGTAAATAAAAAAGAAAAATTAAATTTTTGTGTTAACTTATGGGGCTCTTAGTGTGCACCTACTATTAAAGTTTATACATTTTTCATTTTAAATACCTTCATGTGATTACACAAGACAATTTAAACAAATTTTTTTAGTTTTATAGTTTTACGAAATTATTGGTAGAAGTATTTAAACTATAGTTGATTAAAATTTTGGGTGCTATTCTATTTCAATTCCTTCAATCTATGGGTTAAAATTGGAATTTACTTATTTATCATGCCAAAAGTTAGTTTGGCAACTAATATACACGTAGATAATGTAGTTAAACAGATCATATAATTCCATAATCTGATGAAACAAAACAAATTCTGCAGGTAATAACGATTTTAAACAATAGGGTTAAATGTCAGGAATCCGGATTTTCAACTTATTACCAAATTACTAAATCAACCAACAAAAAAGTCAAATGGTTCGTGTTTTCTCATGTAGATCTAAAAAACAAAAAGGAAATATAATATATATATAGGTATTCCGAAATTTGTTCAAACAATACTGTTTTAAAATTTTATAAAAAATTTAGTTGAAAAAAGTTATTAAAGATATGTTTAGTAAGTTCGATAACAATAATTAGGCAGTGTGAATCCAACATCACAATTTTATTATTTAAATGAATGAACTGTTTTCATGCATCTCCTTATTATTGTTATATGATAATGAATTCAATATATTAATTATATTTAATATGATACCGAATTCAATTAAAATGTACAAAATATAATTATTCTTTTTTGAATTCTTTAAGATTTAAGAGAAATTTAATTTTACATTAAATCAAAAATAACAATATAATAACTGTACATATGCGTAAAAATATAAAAATCCCAAAATTAAATTTAATTTTTCTCATATACATTTTTGCTTGAATCCAAATTTATTACTTTTCTTATGAGTATGCAAAAACTTTTGAATAACATTTAAAGGAAGTCATATTAAATATAAAAAATCATTTTCAATTCATATTTATTTTTAATTTTATATTGGGAAATAATAATGGAAAATACTCCCAAAGCAAATATTTTAATTTTAAATTATTCAAAAAAAAAAACAAAAATTTCTTATACCCGAAAAGAAAATGAAAATTTTTCATTTAAATCCAATAACAATTTGAAAAAAAAAATTGTAAAGTGTTCATATAAATATGTGTATGTATACATATAAAGATATATACATTCCCTTTTTCTTAAATTCAAAATATAAAATTATAATTTAATATCATTTTTATTTAAATTGAACTTGAAAAATTTCATTTCATTTTGCATTAAATTATCCTTCCTGTAATAAGAAGAAAAAAAAGAACAAGCTGTGCATATCAAGCTGTATTACATAGAGAAATGTATAACATTCAAGGATTCAAGGATATTTTTCATATTAAATTAATATTTTAATATTATAAAAAAAAATTCTCTTTTCAGAATATAACAATAATAATAACATAATAAAAAAAAAATATTTTGAATATTATAATTGGTCTTGTCGTTTCGTAGTTACCATTACAAGTAATGGTAATATTATTTCAGTGGCGATATTCAATATGAAAATCAATTCTTCAGGTTATGCTTTTGCATGCGTTACAAAATTTTTATTATAAAATATCCAAGGTTTGTTATCAAAAAATGCTAATGGAAATTTAAGATTTATTTTAATATATAGTGTATCGAAACAAATCAAATATTCCAATATTGGAACTAAGTTGAATAGCTGATACATATTGAACTAAGATAAATTTTTACAGCTTTATATGCTTAATTTGAAAATTTTATATAATATATAAAACTTTGTGTATTATAATTTTAAACAAAAAAAAAACTTTATGCTGTTCCCTCAAAATTAATGCAGTCAAAAATAAATAAAACATAAACAAAATATATGTAATTATGTTGGACTGCTGGTCTCTGTACATTAATGTTTTGGCACGTGAAGGACTAAGTGCTTTTTAGCATTCTGATTTATGTTCTTAGTCCAACATATACGTGGATCCTAAGTTAATCAGAAATATGCGTGAAGCAAATGAAATTTCACATTTTTTTTAAATGAATACAAAAAAGTGTGCTCACCTAATATTTTATATTTGTGAGCTGTGACATAAAATTATTGAGAATATTTTTTAAATTGTTTAGGGAAAACAAAATAATCCTTCTTTAGTTTCTCACTTATTTTATTAAATAAAATTCCGGAAAACGACCTCATCTCTCAAATTTTTAATTTTTTTAAGATGACAAAGAACTTTTTGTTTTTTGATTTCTCAGAATTTCTCTCCATAGTACAAAAAGCAAATACACTCTTTTGAACATTAGAATATATTTGCGAATATGTAAAATAATTTTGCTAACTTATAAGTATTATGTATTTATATTAACTCTACATTTTTATACAAAACCATATTATACAACATAGGTTTCAAAAATTTTTAATGAATTTGTAAGTACGCATGTATTTTAGAAGAATATTGAAAAGGATATTATAAACGTTAGAGTAAATTTTCTATACATGGAGCACTTCGGTTGTATGAAATTTTGAGGATGATAAAAATTTTCTTATAAAAATAAATTATGAAAATCAGGGACCGATAATAATAATTTTTATTTTAACTATATATATTATGTATATTATGCTATAATATAAGTTATAATAACAATAATTAAAAAAATATTTACGATTAAAATAAAGTTTTTGTCAACAGTGTCTGCAGAATTAAAATTATAATTTTTTTTAATCATGTTCAAGGACAAGTGTACTATTATCGCGTATTTCGTAAAAAACAAAATTTTTGCGTTAATAGTACGAATCAAAAACATGTCTAACAGTGAATGAAAAGTGTTATAATGGTGATATATTATAATGGTAAGGGTTGGAATGTACATAGTTATATAATTTCATTGAAATCATGATGAGCGTTTCGTACTTACATCTAGTAAATCAATCAGAATTTAAACACCAAACAAAGGAATTCCATTTTATCCTCAATATCACAATCTGAAACGAGTTATTAGACCAATATTGCCTTTAATTTTTTTTTGCCTGTCTTGACTTGATATAGCAAATTAAAATGTAGTTTCTACGAGTCCTGGATGTATATTGCTTCTCAGCTGATAATCATACTTAGTCATAATTACTAAAAGAAAAACAAAAAATTTTAACATTAATTTTCTTGCATGTTATGAAATGTAAAATATTATTTTAACATTAAAGTTTTGCATAAGCTTAAAATTTTATATATAAACTTTTAAAAATTTTCCATAATTTTCCGAATTTTATTATATTATCTTTTGTGTGCTTAGTCGTTTGATTTATTCACTTCTACGCAAAGGAAATTTCGAAGTTTTATTGAAATGATCATTTTGATTTTCCACCCTGATCTCTTTTCCGTTTAATATTCCATTTGAATTTGTTTTATAATTGGATTTTCTTTTGTTATACATAAAAGAATAACGTAAAAAATTAACGAAGCTTAGATTCCAAAAAATTATTATAAGGATATCATGTGCATTATGATGTGAGGCGACCACATTAATCATGTATTTGGTATATGTGGTTCTAGTATATTGTAAAACAATACACAAAAGAACCCTGTCAACTATTTTTTTTAATTCTTTTAAATTTTATTCATTTTTTTTCCTAGTCTTTTGTTACAACCATTTTTAATAAGTTTTTATTTTTATCACACCATCCAAACTTCCTGCTAAAGGGGAACACAATATAATTATGAATTGTATTTCCTTCCTTTTTCTTTTTTCAAATTTAAGTGCATTCTATATGAAAAATTTAGTTCCTAGAAAAGCACAATATTACAGTAAAATATTATTGCTATAGAAATTAGAAAAATACATAACAAATTTCATTTTAAAGTGATTTTTTTTAATAAAAATTATGGAAGCATAATTATCAAGTTGATGATATTAAAGAATGACAAAAAATTTAAAAATATTTTATTATTTTTAAAATGTTAAGAAAAAACATGACTCGAGCGATGTTTATGCATTATTTAGCGCTGCAATAAATGGTGTTTGTAAGTTATAACTAGATAATTATCACATTAAAAAGCTAAAATTTTGGACTAGTTTAAAAATTGTTTGCGAAAAATAATTGCCTAAAGTTGATAAATCCATAGTGACCAGCTGGATTCGGAAAAATCCGACAAGAACTTTTGCTATTTTAATAATGAGAACTGTTAAAATCAACTTCTGTATGGAAGAAAATTGAAAGAGTGTGGTTTAATTAATGATGTTGAAAAACAATTAATAATTAATAGAACAACAATTAATGATGTTGAAAAACTACAACTTACAATAATCACTTTGTTTCGATTTGTCTATTAAAATTTTGTTTATTATAAAGAAAGTATGTTGTTACTTAAATTAATATTTTTTTAGTGTGTAACATTTGCTTGAAACATTTTTTTGAAATAACTTCTCAAATTGAATTTTTCTAACAAATCATACGAAATAAAAATAATTGTTCTTAAAAAAACAACAATATTTTATTATTCACCCTTTACTGCTATGAATTAAATTATAAATCACTATATAAAATCATATTTAAATATAAATTTTGTTATTTTTATCCAAATTATCCCAATAAAATTAAGAAAAGCTTTAAAAAAAATCATTAACATCGTAACATTGCACAATGAATTTCTATTCACGTAAAATAAAATGCACAAATCTTGCATTTTACTTTTTAAATTTTATTTTTATTTTATTAAAATAAAATATAATTATATAAAAAAAATACGATAATTGCAAAAAACTCAATAGGGATTGTGAAAATAAGAAAAATGAAAACTTACAAAACACATAAAAAGCAAATTTTATATAAAAACTAATTATATCCGGTGTCTTTCAGTGACGGGATAGTCAACAAGAAATACTAATCGAACAGAAATTCTAACACGTTTCACTGAAATATCATTTTTCTGTCATTGTCAAAAAAAAGTGCTAGAAATTTTCGGATGTGACTATTCCAATCTTCCTAGTTTTTCTAAATTTACCCTAATAATAATACTAAATTTATTTTAATAATTATTTATGTAAAAGTACCTTTGAAGTGCTTTTGTTATGAAAACAACAAGATTTCATTTTTATAGAGTAACTCTGAACTTTTCCAGATTTCAATATCAGTCTCTTTTATAAAATATCGCGGCAGCTACCTAAAAAACAAATATTATTAATAAACATCTGATATAACGCTATCTAAGGCATAATCTAATATCTAAGTGTCCATACATTTTCAATCATTGTCATACTTAACCTTAGAATAACAATTTTTTTAATTTAATACAAAGTAATTTGCATCTAACCTAACTCAAAATGCACTTATTATTATTATTGTTATAATCATTTTGTACTAGACCAGAATGTATAAAAAGTTAATAAGCAAAAGGATAAAAATGTTAACGATAATTATCAAGATTTATTCTTTGAATGTTCTGCTCTAGAATTTTTAGTTAATGTTATTTCTCTTTACTTTTTTTTTTTTTGCTTTCTTATCCTTGTTTTATTTGCAATCTCGCGTAAAAGAGATGCTAAACTAATTAGAAATGAAAGTATAAAATGAACAATAGTAAAACGTTGTAATGCGCTGTAACGATTTTATAAAGCTTAAAAGAAGACAAAAGTTTATTTCTGTTTGCATTTTAGAATCTTTTAACAATTTTATTTCTTTTTAAATTGTAAAAATGAAATGATTTGATTTTTTTCTTTCCTTTTTTGAAATTTTTAAATGAGGTTTTTATAGTAGTTCTATCTACTCTAAAGTATGGTATGTATAATATTGCCATATTTATTAAGATATTTATAAGTAAATGTTTGTAACTTTCAAAAATAATTCTGGATTCAAATCCGAAAAAGTATTATTTCGTAATAATTTGTAATATTTTTGAAAATCAGTGATTATAAACACAATTGCTAGTTCAACAACTATATATTTTTTCGTTTAAAATTTCAATCTGCTTATAAATGCCGATTAATAGTGCAACAAATAGCTATTTAACTTGTTCATTTTACTACAAGACAGCATTTTCTTGATTTCGGATTTTCATAGAAATCTGTGATTAAAAAAAAAACTAGAAAGTTTATAATTGAAACTATAAATAGAAAGGAAAGTTCATATTTAATTGTGTCCTTACATTCGATCTAACTGGTAAAATGTTATTAAGTGACCATTTGCTCAAAATATAATAGAAAGTGTAATAAGACTAAATTTCAATGAAAATTATATTAATTTTTTTTTTCTTTACAGTACGAAATAACTTAGTAAATAAATTTCTACGAAAATCAACCCTATTTTAAAGAAATTACCGATAATCCAGTTTTGAACGAGTTTTGAAGTAAGTTAATATAATATTTAACTGCTGCCTATGTGCTAAAGTTATTATTTTGAATAAACGTACAAGCTATATTTAACAAATATTTTATTCTTATGATTACCCAATGGACCGTTTAAAATTTTTAATTTTAAACAGAAGAATAAAATTCTGCATTTATATTCAATGAATTTTTTAATTTTTTTTTTAAACATTTTGCAGTATTATACTTTTAAATTTTTAATATTACAAAAGAGCATTAATGTTATATAATATTTTTTTTTGTTTATACCTATACTTTGACCTAAATGCTTACCTTTTAATTTTTAATGGGAAAATATATATATGTATATATATATATACATATTTAAAATGTTAATGAATTTTTCCATTAAGAATTAAAAATTTAATTTCCTTAATATAATTAATCGAAATTGCGTTTTTATTATATACTTTTATATTTAAAACATAGAATTTATAATATCATTATTTTAATATTTTTCAAAGATAGTTTTCATAATGTTTTGAATTTTTCTATTATATTTTTGTATATTATTATTTTATATAAGATCTTTTGAATTTAAAATAATTTTATAGCATTAATATAGTTTTGAATATCTTGAATATATAGTGTTATAGTATTTAATTTTGTTTTGTGAGTAAAAATGATGGTTTAAAGTGAAATTACTATGTGAATTTAATTATGATAGTTAAAAAAATTCTATCATTTAAATTTTTATTGTCTTTAATTAATTCTCTTAAACTGGAAAAATACTATAGGTAAATAATTATAGCAAATGTTTAATGAATAATGATAAGAGATTATTTAATTTTTTATACAAAAAAAATGAAAGAATTATTTTTAAAGAATTATTATGTTAAATAATGAAACGTACAACAGCCACTGCTTCAAATTATAAATGGCCTTATAATACTACTTGCCAAAAGTTGTTATGAGCATTTACATATTCTTAATAACGGTAATAAATGGTAACGTGCGTGAAAAGACAAAGTCCTTCCTTTTTTGAACATTTACGTTCCCTCAATAATAGAATTTGTATTTTTCACAATTCCGATCATGTTTAGCAAAATGTTTCTAAAATAGTATCAAGAAATTTTTATCAGGCGGCATTGGGTTCGCAATTCTGCAAATAAGTTTCCGTTGTCAAGTTCACTAAATCGTACATACCCGCACCGCCACAAGGCTAATTAAACTCGATCTTCCTAGAAATAAAAAACTTGTTTAAATGAACATATTGTCATACAGTCTAATACACCCCCCTAATTCATCCACCTTCATCCTAACACAAGCTCTACCGGCCTTTCCATGAATCAATAAAGATCCTCGGCATTTTTATCTAATAATATCTTCAATCTTGTTTTTTTCTTTGTTACTGTAATTTTGTTAATTCATTTACTTAACATATTGGAGTTATGAAACTGAACATTTATTTTTAAGAGTGACGCTTTAGATATTTTCTTTCCAAAAAAATTTATACATTTTCTCTGGAAATTACAAGTTTCTCATAATATTTCCTGTAATTTTAACACCTTAGAGATAAAATAAAAAAAATTAATTAAAAAAAATATTATTCATAATTTTTGTGAAAATCAACAAGTTATTAACAAATATAAAAAAAAATTTGATTGTATTAATTTATTAATAACAGAAACAAGAATTTTTTTTCCTCATTTTAGTGAAGATACAACAAGTCATATGGGATTTTTTAAATTTAACACTATAAAGAGAATGGTATTCACTATTTTTACATAACAAAAAAAAAATTTAACATTTTTGATGACTACGGGTGTATGAAATTTTTTTAACAAAATTAATTTTAATAAAATCGTACATACTTGCCTCATATATCATGAATATCAATAAAAATTTTTTCAACATTAAAATTGTATATTATTTTTACATTACACATAGGCCTAATTTAAAAAAAAATTAATTAAAAATATTAGATTATATTATTATGTAAGTAAGTAAGTTGTTAAATAAATTTAATATTGTTAATTTACCATTTTACAATATTTTATAACATGCAGTTATCAAGGGAAATTTTAATATTATTAATTGAAAATAAATGAAATTACAATTTTCAAACCAAAAAGTGAGTTTTGTGTTCAGTATATTTCCTTCTTTTAAATCTTTTAGATAAAGGTTACGTTTCGTTATTATATAAGCCATAACGAAACGTAACATAACGTGGCTCTTTACTTAAATTCGAAAATATCATTGCCATTGAAAATTTACTTGATATTTACTTAAAGTTTTTCTCTATTTCAACTTAAAATAAATTTATTACCATAACTATTACAAATATTCATATTCAAATGTTATATTTAACTATATTACTATTGTTCATAACAATAGCTTTTCTTATAACACATAATACCTTAAGAAACCTCTAAGCTATACCATTTAAATATTCTGAAAATAGTGGAAAAAAAAAAAAAAAACAAAAAAAAATAAAAATCGCTAGAAATGAAAGTGGAAACAAAAAGCATTTTGTAACAAAAAAAAAATAAAAAAAACAATGATTCATCCTAAAGGAAATCTTTAACACCTAATTATTACTCCTTTCGGATGATTTTTATTAAGAACGATTGAAAGCTTTTCGATACAATTTTGTTATTTAGGCAAAATTTTTAAGGATATTTTTCTGTTATGCGCGTAATGTACTCGGTATTCGTTTTTAACTTCATATTTGCTTACCATAAAAAAATACACACATAATATTTTTAACCAATATTATTATACACACGCAATATTTATATTTTCACTTTATGTAGTTAGTAATAAAAGCCATTGTAAATTGGATTGATCTCATAAACTGAAATTTTGTTTTTTTCCTATCAAAATTTTCCAATCGAATAAAAAAGTAAAGCCATAGAAAATATTGATGGCAAACAAAAAACTAACGATGGAAATGAAAACTTTGATGTTCAATTGTTGAAGAACCGTAAAACCATTTTAAAAGATCATGTTAGGTAAAATGTATTCACTGTTAACCCTAAGACTAGTTAGGTACAAAAAAGATTAGTTAGGTACAAAAAGATTAGTACGGTACAAAAAGATTAGTACGGTACAAAAAAAAAATAAACATTTTGAAATTGTTTGGGAAATTCATTGGTTGAAATTTATTTTACAACTTTTGAATTTAATTTCTGGTTTCCTAAAATTGAACGCTCATTTTTACTCGGTTATTTTAAAGTCTCTGCGATTTCATAGCTATATGATTAAATACGAAAAAAATATTTATATCGCGATTCGTGAATTTATTAGATAATTACAATTAAAATGAAATAAGAAATATAAAGTCATTCAATAGAAATTTCAAATTCAATAGTAACATGCTAATTATATAACTTTTAAGAATTTATTGAGAAAATGTACAAATTAAATAACTTTCATTGTATAAACGTAATATTCAGATTTGAGTCCTCGAAAATTTCCCCTATTCTTTTAAAAAAAATAAAACAAAAAAGCAAAGAAAAAGTAAATAAAAACCATAAGAACAGGACAAAAGATGAAATTTGGTGCAAATAGGATGCCAAATTACAAAGATTTTTTATTTTGATATGAATAAGATTCATAGCTCTCCAAAAATATATATATTCTGAAGTTCAATTCTTGATGTGGGGGCGGAATACACAAATATATTATACCGAGTATTGTTTCTATAGAGAACAGTAATGGCGTAATAAAAATTTCAAGAAAATAAAACGCAAAAAAAAAATAATAAAATAAAAAACTTGTATTCCTTCGCCAACCATTTGCATTCATTTCTCTTGTGCCTTTAGCGTAATTTGAAGAATACATATTATAAATTACAGAGTGCTTCACTTACTTTTACAGAATGTTAATATCTTAATTTGAAAACACTATAGAAAAAACCACCAGTCACATACATTAACTACAGATCAATAACTAAGCTATGAGGAAAGTATTCGAAATTTCACAAGGAAAATATTAAGAATTTTCCTAAATACGTTATCTGAGTTGATTGATATAGTCAGCGATTATATACATGTAGGTATTTTTTCTTTTTCCAGCCTAAAATGAATGATAAAACCCGATATTGTACCAAGAATACCTTGTATCCGTAGATATTATATTTTAGCTATAATAAATACCATTTTGAAGGACTTAAAATATGTAAAAGATAAGGCGGAATCAGACAGTTTTGATAATAAAGCGCAAAAACAAAAGCACAAAAAAAAACTTTAAGTACATATAAAAAAAGAATTGGAAAAAAGAAAAAAAAAACTTATTTTCAAAAGCGTTGTTTTTTTTCTATTCCTTTATTCTTATAGGATATGAAAAAATTAAAGCCCAAGGCAGAAAATATTCTGACAAAAAAAAAATTTTTCCAATATTCTATTTTTGTGTACATAATATTTAAAAATTTTTCTTTATTGATTTCTTTATAACTTAGTGAAAGTAGTATCGCAAATTGTTCTTCAAGTTTATAACCCTATTATTTAATTGAAGTAAAACACAGATTAAGATATAATCGAAAAGCGTAATAGTTTTAAAGGTTAAAATATAATCGAATTTAACTAATAAATTTTTAAATTTCTAGCCACATCTGAAGGAATAGATCAAAATTCTTAATAAACATCGTTTAAAAATTTTGAAATTTCGGTTTGGCTTGTTATCATTTACAAACCGAGTGTTAATTCAGCTTGTATCATTATTGAATAATGCGAATTTTTATACAAATATTTCTGGAAAATATTCTTCTAATTTGAAAATTACAAAATAGAATTAAATCAACGTAGCACTAATTATCCTCAGTGTGTTATAGTTCAAATTTTGTATAAAAATTGTATTTACCGAAAATTTTTGCTTGGGAAATCATCCAATTACTTTTCTTGCAGGAATCTAGAACATTGCTGTAAGCACCTCTCCTGTTATTTTACTTGATCACATTCTCTATTATCTTCATTAAATGAGACGTATTGTGAATCATTAAAAATCTAAAATTAAGATATTTTTTAAAGTTTTATATAAATTTACTCAAATTTCAAACAGCTTTCCTCTACATACAGTATGTTTTAGTAAAATTAAATTCAGATGCGGGATCCTCAAATTAATTTTGAGAATTAATTGAAATTGTAAACCAACTCATAATTGAAATTGTTAACCATTGTTGCAAATTTCAAATTCTCACAACTTATAGTTGTGACTAGTAATATAATTTTTTTTTCTTTTTGTGGCAATAGTTTATACCATTATCCTTTTATCCTATCAAGAATAAGAGAAAGAAATATGTACATACATGTGTATATGTAGCATATTTTGTGTAGCTATTCAAGACAATCACGACTTCAATATTAAATTTATTTATTATTATGTTATATTCAATAATGTTTTTAATTTTGGTTGTGTTTAATATTGCCAACAATATTTTATCTTTCATGCTCCTCACTTCATCTCAATTATATTATATCTCTCTCTTCTTATTCAAATTTTTCTTTTATATACACGAGAATAAATTCATCTTTCTATTTGATATCTGCCCTTAATGTAATAGCCACAGATATTAAACATCTTATGTATATACATATATACACGTTAAAATGCTTCAAAAGTTCAAGGATAAATCTTACAACAAAGAATATTATATAATATGAATAAATACTTTATGTTTTAGTTTTTCAATAATTTTATTCGTAAGCTTAACGAAATCTTCTTTTGCTTTTTGGAAATGAATATTTTAACAGGTCATTGGCACTTCTGAGCATTAATCTCGAATCTAAATAATGCCAAGAAATTTTTCATTTCTGCTTTTTTTTCTTGTTGGATTACAATACAATAGTGTTATTGTTAAAAAGCGGTTGTTGAGATTAAAAAAAGAATGACAAATCTTATAAACTTAATTTAATTTATTATACGACAAAAATGAAGAACTTTCGGCTGAAGTGGAAAATAAGTGAAAATAAATTTCCGTTTATATTAAAACATTAAATGAAGTTTTTCTTTAATAAAATTTAGAAAATTTCTTAAAAACCATAAGTTTATAGGGGCTTCTACAATTTTATATTACATTTTTAGAAAAACTAAGAATTTGATACAACTTTCAAGAAGTAGCCTTAGGTCTTAGTAAAAGCATACTTTCCTTAATCAAATTTTCCTGAAAAGTTTTTGTTTATTTATTTCCCATATACTTAAAATATTTTCGTTTCAATGCAAAACTTTTCAGCCAAAAGCAAGATGTAAGACAGCACACACAAACAGATAGATAGGCGGAGGGATAGCTCTCCATAGCGGATAAAGACCTTTCCATCAAAATCGCTTCATGTCAAATTTGCTGTAATTATAATATCTCACTTATTTTACGTTAGACCGAAGTGTATTGTACAAAATGGGTTTGCAAAATTTAAATGAAGCAGAATTATTATTTTCACGTAATTGCTTTTATTTTCACACAATGAAATTTAAATATTTCTAATGTTCTTGTAATAAGCTTGCTACAGGCAAGAACAGTAATTACAATATCAAATATGTATATTATAATTCAATAAACAGATTTAATTTTTAAATAATTTTCTCAATAAAATTATTGTAAATTCACTTTTCTTTATCCTTGTTTAATTAATCTCAACAACCGCAACCGTTCTTATTTATAATTAGTCAAACAAACAAGGATAATTCCATCTATAACAAGAAAATCTTTTGAAATATTATTATTCCCATCAGCACCTACATTGTTTAACTAAGGATAATGACTAATAATTTTCAAACAATTTAATCATTAACATACATAAGAAGGTATCATAAAGAAGTCTTGCATATTTAAATTGCATTTGAAATACAAGCACTATACCTACATTCTTATACGGATTAAAATATAAAATTAGATGCACATATGTATATGGATATGACTTATAGAAAATTTTCGTTTTACAATTGCAAGAATGTTGAAATCAGTTGAGTGACATCCTGCAAAGTTGAAAATATAATTATAGTGGAATTTATAATTCAAAAATTGTTTTGTGATTTTACAGGAAACTTTCAAACCTACAAGAAAATGTATTGAGTAAATATAAATGCATTGATATAAATTAGGTTCTATGTATATTAGTGAAGTTCCATTTCCAGATTTATATATAATGCAATTTACAATACATATTATTTCTATAAAATTCGTAAACATTTTAAATTTTTGAACTTTGAATGGAATACCTATTCCTTTGAAATTTCGTTTTCATTCGAAAAATCTTATTTTCTATTGTTAATAAATAATAGGCATTTTGATCAAATTGTATACCAAGAATTAAAAGCAAATTAATTTTTTTCGTTATTAGTGCATTCATCTTCCCTGAACCTACGTCAGGCTTAATGCTGTATTGCTTAATGCTGGTTCATTGAATTTTGAAAGAAGACTCTCGCGCAGTTAAATCATCATTTCTTCATTTTCAAGTTCTTGAAATGTCTTTTCTAGTTAATTTTATTATAATAGTATATAAATTACAGTTAATTATTGATTTTGCAAAACTCTTTGAAGAAAATTGCATTTCAAAATTGCATACTAATATTTTTAGTATTTTTACAATACGTTTTCCAATATTTAAATAAAATTAGTAGGTTCTATAATATTTGCTTGAGTATTTCTAATGAACACATTTTGGGAAAAATTCGGAATTTCTTTGATTCACGAATGACCCATTCTCTCTCTTTTTTAAATTTATTATAGCAATTATTAGGTAATTTTCAAGCATTTTTATTTATATTGCAACAAATTATATCAAATAATCGTAAATTTTGTATTTGGTACTTGAATATTTTATTATATTCAATACAAATATAAAAAAAAAATCAACCTGAAAAATATTGGCTTTTATTATATCCGATTCTAATAAAAATCAATTTCATCTAAGCGTTATGTAACAAATTTAATATTGTGTCATTGAAAAAAAAATACTAAAAATTTATGATTTTCTGCTAAGATACAACAATTTAAATGTTATATTTGTAATAATCCGTCCATAATAATGATTATGGAATAGATTTTACAAAAATTACACCTTTGATTCTTTATACATAGTCGAATTTTCTCATTACAATACACAAAATTTCGGGCTAATTTGTAGCTTTATATTATCTTATCCACACTTGAAATAAAATACATGAGCGGAATACATCATTAGTTAAAGATTCTCAGAGTTCGAATTAACCACTTACATACATACATTGAATTTTTAGGTTTGTAAATTATTTTAGCTTTGATAAAGTAATAATTAAAGCTATCATACTGTGATATAATTTAATAATCAATAATCCATATTTCAAAAGTTTAATCAATTCAAAAATCGAAATATTAAGAAAAAACCGCTATATTACAAATTTAAATAAACTTACGTGATATGCATTGTCGGCTGGATCCACCTAGCCTGTTTCCAATTATTCGTTAACACTATCCATCCAGCACGGACTCAAGTGTTGTACAGGTCAAAAGGTTACACATACATAACTTGGATGCCAATGCTGCAATTTAGGCACGCAATTTTAAACCAAATTTTTTGTACATATTCGTATTGTGAAATTCAAATTATCCATTACTCCATTTCCAATTTGAAAAATTAAATTTTTATTTTAAGCCAACTTCGCATTTCTAATTGGAAATATTAAATTTTTATGCCAATCCAAATTCGTATTTCCAATTTGGAGCCAAAAATTAAAATTAAATTTTTATCCACAACCAAGCCAAGCCAGATTTTTACTAGGGATGACATGTATGTACATGATAGGGATGTATTATAATGCTGAATATTAATTTATGTTTCCTATATTTAACGCTAGGTTGCTCACCAATTTTTATTTTATCACAAAGAAAATAAAATTGTGTTAACCATAATTGAACACGTTAAAATGTTGTTTGAACACGTAACCGTTAACGTATTCAAACTAGTCATTAGCGAATTTTTATTTTGCACCATTTCTAAATAGAACAGCCTTTTTCGATTATAAGTATTATTAAAAACAAAATTATTAATAAAACTATTTGTGGGAAAAATATGCTATATTGTCTAAAAAAATTTCAAAAGGTACACAATCAAAGTTTCTATAAAATCAAGCAGAAAATAATTTTTATCTTTGACAGACAAAAAAAAAATACAAGGTCAATGCAGTGCCGGCCACACATTATGTAGAACAATTTTGTCATACATTTATTAAAAATATATCAAGGTTCGTCCGGTCAATAGTTTTAATACTTTTTTTCTCTTAAAAATATTCATTTTTATTGAATATTTTTCTGAAAGTTTGACGTCTACAAAAAAAAAATGATATAACGTAATTAAACGGGGATGAACGAAATAAAGATGTTATTACAAAGCAGAGCAGCATTTCAAAATATTGTTTCATTATATAATTTTGAAGTTGCTGTTTGTCAAAAACCATGACTTCCTTAGCATATTTAAGTCATTATTGTTTTATTATATAAAATTTTAAACACTGTCAAATTTTAAAGTACGGCGTAATTAAAAAAATTAAGAAATCTACCATAATCAAAGCTCAACATTACAATTTACACAATTTTACTGGCTGTAATATGCTAACGGCTAACCATTATGGAAAGTTAGGAATTGGAATTCGAAGCGCCGCCGTTTGTGATATGACGTGACGTGACCGGCTTAAATCAATAGAAAATAGTTGCTTGGTACAAATTTTCAATTTTATTTTCTTAATTTAATATAATTTGACATAAAAAGAACATACGCACAAAAAAAATGAAAATTATCGTTCTACACACACACATGTTCTAATATTATTTTTTTTTGTTACATTACACAAATAACTTTTTTGTATATACAAGACAATTTACGTAGGCTTACACCAGCTTATACATAAAAAAAAAAATATAAAAAATAGAAAAGAAGATCGATATCCTTCCATTATCATTTGTCATTAGGTAATTTTTTTATCATCCATATCAAATAATAATAATTGTACTGTTAAAATAATAATAATGACAATAATAACAATAACAGTAAAATATATTATGAATATTTTTTTAGTATAGGTATGAAATGTTATATTTGTTTTATGTACATTATTCTTTACATAGATGAGTATACATCAGGACCATATTGGAATTGAAGCACATTCCTTAAAAAAATTACAAAAAGCATATTATCATTATCAAGTGTATTTCCTTTCGAAATCTCTTTTAATAACTACATGAATACATACATACATGCATACATAAAGGATATACGCCAATATACTTATAAATAACCGTAACAGCAAAAGATAAGATGTCGTTATTTTTATTTCAAATTATTTCTTAACAAAGCTGTAAGTATATACTATGTTGTATAAGTACAATACCTATATAATTTCATACCGCACTGTACATAAGACTCACTTATACTATAAATTTTAAACAATTTCTTCTTAGCTAGTATAATAATTTATTAACAGAATAATAAGTTTTTAATAACAATTTTTAATAGCAGCTCTTAAGGCGTTCATGATGATTGTTACTGTTTGTTAATGTCACAAAAAAAAAAAAAAAAAACAATTTATTTTTCTTTCTGCTTTAAAATTAGAAGATGTTGCTATTGTATAGGTAGAGGTATATGTATATGTAGGTATATGTAGTGGTAATATTAGAAGGACGCTTTTACGTTTAACCATTACTCTTTTCATTGCATTTTCCATTTTATTACTAACTTTTTTTGTTTTCTTTTTTTCTGGTTTGACATTACGATTTACAAGAGATGAAAGTATAAAATCAAGAAATTTATTTGAAGCAATTTATTCCTCATTCTTTAAAATTTCTTATATTCTATTCATGATTTTTATATACAAAATGTCCTTTCTCTTCCTCATTTTTAATAATATAATATTTATTTATGCTATTGAAAGCGTTAGGTATACATATGTATGTGTGTATACACAGTTAGCGTTACTTGTTATCAGTGCCGAGTTTAAATACAAGTTTTTAACAAAGAGTAACAAAATCAAAAATTCACTTTTAATATTTTGTAATGCGTCGCGTGTTAACTTTTGCCACCAACTGCATTTTCGCGCAGTTAAAACGTAGAAGCTCAAATATTTTCTGTAAGGATTTTTTCGATAATAAGAACTTGGCTGTTTCAATTAAACGTAATTGCCTCAATTTTTGCTTTTGTGGTTCATATGAAATCTGGATTCGCGCACTCATTCAAGTATGAAGTGTAGCCTGAGATAAAATAAATTTTTCTTCCATTAGTTATTTAATGCAAGTTTATTTAGAACTTTAATTGCCGTTTGCCTATCCGAAACATTAAATTCATCCCCAATTCAAACACTCTCTAACCGCCGAAATTTCCCTTTCATGTTTGTCGAAGGAAAACTTCTCTCGAAAAAGCTTATTTGATATTTTATTGATGATGTATCCTAACAAAGCAAAGTAATATAGTATGATATTTGGCATTTATATTCTTGTTCTTTTCAGAAATCACATTTAATATTATTCGGCGGGTACTGCATACTTCGACCCTGTTTGTTACTGATGTTACCGTTTGTTCAACTCTTGTATATATCTATATTATAATATAACATAACATAAAAATTAGAAAGAATAATTGTGTATTCAACAAAAAACAACAAAAATATTATAAAAAAAAAGATCACAATCCTTAAAATGAAGAATAGTGGTAATGAAAAAGGCAAGGGATATTTTTATAAGGAAAGAACAACCGTAATAACAGACACAAAACAAGCTAACCAATAAAATAGCAGATAAAGAAAATCAAGATGAGTGAAAAGAAATTTAAAAGAAAAAATGATGTGGTGATGCTTGTTATTACAAAAGAATAACACAAACTATATATTCCACGAAAATTTGTTTAAAAAAAATGTGATTCCTTAAAGGACCCTTTCTACTTCAATTCTCAATACCTATATACATATACATTGTGTGAATATATATTTATAATTATATGCATACTAGTGGTGCTTCAAAACTGCTTTTTACAGTTTTTCTGATTTTGTTTTCCGTTCTTATCTACATATACGATAGCCTCTTTTTATTGTTTGTGCTACATTGTAGTCTTTTTTTTAATACTCCATCATTTAAGTTAATGGTAAATTGTCTTCTCTGTTGTTATCCTCCTCCATTTTCATACTATAAATAGTGATGGTAATGAAATAAGGAAATGAATCATATACCACACATACTCGTTTTTGGTGTAGTTTTAATTTATCGATAATTAATAGAAAGTAGACTTTCAAATATATTTTTGAAGTAGTTTGAATGTTCAATAGGCGTATGAAATACAAACATAAATTATTTAATTATGATCATTTTCAAAATTTTATTTTGTTTAACCAACTTATACGAGATTTCGCGCAGTTACTCGAAACAGGCGTCCCATAAAACATCACACTTTAAAAAATTGTTTTAAAAATTATAGTTTTTTTGGGTCAGCGGAAATTTGGATTTCCTACATATTAGCGCACATATTATTTTGATGTTATCACATTTTTAATTACTTCTGTCAATTTGGATGTCAAATTTCAAGTTTTCGTCCAACTCAGTATTAGTGTAAATATCTTAAAAATTTAAACTTTTTTTGGAACTCAAAATTCTTATCTGGTTATTTGTGTATTTTCGAATTTTCAGAATTTTTTTTTTTGTTAGATTTTTATCATTAATTTATGGCGGGATATACACATAAAATCACCCATATTTGCACTGAAAATAAGAAAACAAACAAAAAATTTTATTCTTATGTTATAAAATTTTATTGTGTACATTTTGTTAAATAATCCTTTTTGATATTTTTTTTTTACCATCATTTCCGGTTTACTATAATTTTTAAGCTATAATTTATTCTTTAAATGTGATGACATTTTTTAACCAAAATATTTGCAAATATTGGTAAAAAATTGTCACTTTTTATACCAATTTCATATTAAATGAGAAATTTTTCGTAAATATAATATTAAAGATATTTTGCGATTATGTAAAATTTATGCGACATATCTTGGCAAATTATAATAGAATGTAGAAGAACTAAAAACTTTAAATTTTTTTATATAATTTAGTTTTATATAAAGAAATTTAAACGAACGAACAGCTAATTAAAACTTGTTATTAGTTCATTTTGCTGTATGGTTTTGAAATATTTAGGGTATAAGAACAATGTGATTTGAAATCGAATTTTCGTAAAAACCTTAATTGTTTATATATATGAAAATGTGTTCTAATATTCACCTTATTAATAAAATTCAATTATTATCAACACAATATTCAATTAATTTGAACATTTTCCAATTAATTTAAACAGGAATTTAAACAATCTATACTCTAGCTTAAAAAGCAAAATATTCATACTGCTACAAAAAATACAATTTTTCATTATTTTACTTAAAATAATAAAAAATTAATAGAAAATCCCTCATATTTTCAATTTCTTTCATATTTTACGTTAAAAACTTACACACTATATTTTCATTTCTGTGCCACTTTAATTTAATTAAAGTTTTTTAAATTTATTTAAAAAAAAAATAAAAATTTTCATTTATAATATTAAAATAATTTTAGAATTTTGATAATAAAAGTTTTCGAAAAACTATTTTAACTATTTCAAAAAATGTTAACTGAATTGAATTGTGGAAAAGTTTTTAACCCTTCTTTTCACCCCAAATTTACCATACATGTTATACACGTATACGAAAATTTCCTAGCAAG